CAACAACCAACAACAACCAACAACAACCAACAACAACCAACAACAACAACAACAACAACAATCTCAATCATCGTCAATCTACATCATTCTAAATATTATGTCATAACGTTTTTGTTCATGAAGTCCTCCGGTTTTCTGCCTCATTCTGACCGTCCAATCTCTTTTGCAACAGGCACGGCCGTGGCTTAGAGCTTTGGCCTGACGGTGTGGAACCTCAGCGTGCCGAGCGCTGGTCCGTCGCTGGTCCGATTGATTGCAGTCTCTGAACCTGCAGCTGTGTGAGTCTTTTTACTTGGGTGCATGCGTCACCCGGTCAGTCGGCCGGTCACGGGGGCATTTTGGACTTTGAGAAGCTTTGGATGGAACTTCTGAGACCATTTTCTCTTGGATACATGGATTTCCAGGCTGGTAATCAATTCTGTGGATGAGTTTCACTTTGCTCTCAATGAGGTGGTTGGAACCGTGAACCACCTTGGGTTGACATGTTTGTTTTCTTGCCCTTTCTATGACTTGGTCTACCTTGGCTTTGAGATAAACAAAACCACCACTCTGATTCGTCCAATCGGAGTGAGGTGCCAGATACCAAGGGGACTACCTGGCAGGGAAGCTCAGTCCAGGGACAAGAGCCATGGGACAACGTGATGATTGAATGAGTTTGGGATGCTTTCTTTGTGAGTAACAAAAAGCTATATACTAGTAACAAGGACATCGCTACTAGGAACAAGGGCATCGTTACTAGTAGCAAAAAACTACTAGTGGCGGATTTTTATCAAACACAAAAAGCCTGTGCCGTCGCCGTTCTCAGGAGGGCCGGAAGAACGGCCAGGGAAGCTTCAGTTGGGCGGATCGCTCGAGTTACGAGGTCAGGAGGGGTAGAGTGACAAGGGTGTTTGGAGTAGTGAGTAGTGAGAGTGGTTGTGGATGGAATTGGATGGTATGTATATAATATGGTCTGTATGTGTGATGAATGTGATGGATTGGGGAGACCACATCAGTGAGGCTTGGTCTGAGTGACTCATATTTGCGTCCAAACTAGTGCGAATGCAGTAGGCATTGACACCCAGATCTCCCATGGCTGCACCCTTTTGTTAGCCTGTTAGCCAAAATCAAGTCGATCAATGTTTCTCGACTTGGAACACTACTCCGATCTATAGGCAACTCTGCTGCATATCGCCCATTTTGCAGTCCATCTCTCCTCATGCTTCCCCCTCTGCTCTTTTGCATGTGAACTCCCCAATGGCCCGATCCCCAGCCCCAACAGGGTCCTCTAGGTGCTTGTTCGGTAGTCCCATTCCCAGCATCTCAACTTATTTGAACAAGAAGCTACTAGGGGCTCCTGGCCTTACTACTAGGAGCAAGGACGCTACGAACGGGGCTCCTGGCATCGCTACGAAAGGATTCTTGCAACGAACGGAACAAGAGGATTTTCAGAGTCTCTGGTGTTCGACGGTCCACCTTTGCAGTTCCCGGCGTCACCAGGGCGGCTTCCGCGACAACGAGATCAACGGCGAAGGGCTGTACATTTGGGTCCGGACGCTCCAACGGGTCGTAGCGAGAAGCTACTAGATTGGAGGCCATCGCTACTAGGAGCAAAGGGCATCGCTACTAAGCTACTAGGAGCAAGGACGCTACTAGGGGCTCCTGGCCTGGCCTTACTACTAGGAACAAGAAGCTACCAGGAACTAGAAGCTTCCTTTGGGAATCGTTTCACCTGTAACAAGAAGCTACTAGTAACAAGGTAACGTCGTCACGAAGGGAGGCTTCGCCACTTGGGAAGGAATGTGGGGCAGAAGCTTCGGAATTTGGGTTTCAGTAAGGCTTCTTGTTCCTAGTAGCGACGGCCTCCAACCTACTTGCGATGGCCTCCACCTAAAGCGTCCTAATACCGCTAGATTTTATTTAAGGATGGAGAAATGAGAAATGGATTGTTCAATGGGGCTTAGTGCCTTAGGTGGAACCTTTCAGACTTGGTCCCTGCATAAGGATCCATGGCAGGGCCAGTCCCAACGTCCTGGAGTGACAGAATGACCATTTACATCTAACTGCCTCATGGTCTTTTTGTTTCACATTGTCAAATGCTCCATACTACAGTGTACATAATCCTCATAAACTTGATGCTCGGAAGGCTTCAATGGTATTGAGTAACCGTAACTGAACCTGATCCATGTCAGATAGTCCTGGCATGTTCACTCGAGTTGTTCGAGTTGTTTGTGGGTCATACTGGGGGTGCGGCATCCAGGTTTGGTGGAACCTCAATTCCCGCTGTGAACAGATCGATACTTGAAATTTTCTTCTCAAAATTCCCCAGGCTCCGCTCTTTCTAGAAGTCTGGACCTCACTAAGGTCTCTACCTTTTCTACCAGTCTTTAGATGTCTTTGTCTCTACCAGTCTCTTTGAGATGGCAAATCCACTGATCTTCGTTCGCCATTCCGGGTACCTCACCCATCTCACTTTCGAAAGTCTACAGATTTCCCTCTCCTCTGCCACGGCTGTCTTCAGGGTGATGGTCGAAGGTACCAAGGGCAGTGGGCCGGGTGCTCAGTCGATCCAGATTTTGCTGCAGCTTGTGCTTGGGCTACCAACTTCTTGGCACGTTTGCAGTGAGAGACACGCATCGCTTTGATCAACTTTGGTCGTGACAACGTGATACAACACCACCATCTCTGAAGAGCCAAGCTCTACCACTTCGACCCCAAAACCCAACCGAACGAGCCACCGAGCACGGACGAGGTGAACAACCGTATGCACGGCCATGGGGTCTTCACCTGGGCAGATGGCCGCACCTACGCCGCTCAGACGAAGCGGTGACCGAGTTGTTTCGGTGGATACGAGGCGAATGAATTCTCTTCTTTTTGTCAAAACGGGCTTTTGGAGTACAAGCAATGTATACGCAATGCAAAAGGTACAAGCAAAGCAATTAGGTACATGGTCTTTGCCTCTCTTTCCTCTTCACGTCACCAGTTGGAAAACTTGGACAGGATGAACCTCCATGAATCCGAGCGTTTCACACAGTATACATATCGCGACTTGGTTCTACATAGTTCTCCAGTGCCTCTTGACTCCTCCATCCCGCTTCTCAGGAAGGACAATACAAGGAAGCCAGGCCCTCAGAATGAACGTCCACACTGCCCGGGCACTGCCCCCTGTGTCAGAATTCGTGTGAGGGCTCTGGATTTACGTCGGGGAGTATGTATAGGGAGCAGAATTTGATCCTTGAAGCATAGGAGGTGATGTAGCTGCTAGGTGTAAGCCATTATAAGCCAACTTTCCCAACTCCCCTGAATGGACACCCTTCTGTTACTTTCTGCCGGACACTTCGGCACCGGCAAAACAGGGAAGGTCAGCATGCCCTTCCCGACCCAACACCTTTTGCTCCAAGGATTCAAAGGATGGGCACGGAGTGCCAGAAGCTCAGAGAACTCAGATCAAACCCTGAAGGTTTCAAGGACATCGAAGGGAATCGAAGGGAAGTGAGTGACTCGAAAGGAATTGAGGCTTCATTGATCTAAACATGAGATCCACTTGACTAGTCATTTGAAAGTGTCGGGGACAATATCGGCTACTATAGTACTTGCTAGAGCCCAGAGAATCCGACGTGGTTTTGTCTTGGGAAGAGTGCTTTCACCCATTCATTTGTTCTGGTGACAGCTGCTGATCATTGGTCTGAACTCTGCCGCTGGTACATCAATCAGTTCCCAAACACAGCGCGAGGCGGAGTCGCTGATTTTTGGTTGACCAACCGTTCTACTCAGCTTGAAACCATTGACCCCGCTCCTAAAGGCATCATCAGTTTCGGGTCACTTGGTTAGTCAGGGCTACCAAAAGCATGCGTAATTCGTCACGTAGTCCGCAGCATCGTTCCTCCTGCAACGTTTTGAGGTTCTCCTGGCCTGATGGCCGAAAGTATGATGGGCAATGGCCATGCCCTCGAAACGGGCGTTGGATGACACCGCACACCGAGGGTTGTGGAGACAAAGGGATTTTAGGTCTTAAAGAGCAGGGAACTTGTTGGAACACGAGGGGGTACAGGACCTACAGGATTGGATCCACCAAAAAGCAGTGGCCAAACATGTAGCATGTCCGGTCAATAGCATTCATTAACTCCAAATGGTACCTAGTCACAAGCCCTTCTCCTTGAGACCTGCTCCCGGATTTCGCAACCAGGAAGGATGGCAAACAACATGGCACGGGCTCTTACGTCTGGGAAGCTCAGTGTGGGTGCCAGGTAGATCTCCTTCTACGTCAGTCGTGGACACTTTGAGGTGTGGAAGGGGATGAAGCCGAAGCACTCATCCCTGCAGAGGTTTCCCTACAAGTGCTCAGGGTTTGATTGAGCAGACCTCAGGGAGAAAGTCACGACGTCAAGCAGATGTCAATTCTGTTGAGAATCATCGCATATTGAAGATGTCAAAGGCTAATGATATAAGGCATGCATGGAGATTTTAGGGTGTTAAAGAATGCAGAACCAACAAGCCTTCCTGATGCATTCAACAACGCCACGAGCTGCTGAGGTGAGTTTGGCCGGAGAGAAGAAGCAAGGAGATTGGCCCCGCAGGGTTCCGCCGGATCTGCAGTTCGGGGTCATGCCTTGATTTGGGTCTCAAGCAAGCTGCTGGGGATGGATCGACATTGTCCTAGTGCTACATGGTTCACCCGAGTAGCTTGTGGTTTCTAGTAGCTTCTTGTTACTACTAGTAAGGCACTTGTTACTAGTAGCGATGCACTTGTTCCTAGTAGCGAACATTGTTTCTAGTTTACATGACTTTCTTCCAACAGATGTTCAGATCAACAGAATCATACCTGTTCATACATACCCGACCACAGAACAGAAGTTTCAGAAGCGTGGTGATTGCTTTAAAGGACTGGCCGGAAGGTTTGATTGTAAAATTCCCTATTTTCTTCACCCCCTGGAATTGTGGCAGCTGCGAACATCTCGACTCTGGGCCAAGTCTATCATTCCGCTTCCCAAAACACCCAACGCAAAAAGGGTCTGTAACAATCCATCGGCACGTCCACCAGACTCACAGACTCACGAACCGCCACAGGAGTCTAAGGAAGCTACTAGGAGCAAGGACGCTATTAGGGGCTCCTGGCATCGCTACTAGGAACAAGAAGCTACGAACGGGGCTCCTGGCCGTACTACGAACGGAGCGATCGGACGCCACCAAACGGAACCGCCACAGGAGTCTGGGAGGAGGGCCGCCGATTGAGATGGCTCTCGGAGGCGGAGACGAATCTGGCCTGACCGCGACCGGGCGTTAGGACCCGACCGGTCGGGTGCAGCTGCGTGAGCCCAAAGCCGTTGCTGAGACGAACGAAACATCTATGAATCCATGATCCATTGATCTGGTTCTTGGGATGAGGGAAGCGTTCAGGTTGTACCTGGATTCATTCAGAACCACCTTAGAATCAGTAGGGAACGTCACTATCTGGCTGATTTTGAGCCAGAGGCATCCATGTTCCATGGGACTCTGTAGAGCGATGAGCTTCAAAGAGCAGTGGATCAGTGACCTCCTACACTATTTCAAGGTCATTAAGTTTCACTTGGTAAACGATTCGCTAGCAGCGCCTTTGCACACGGAAAGACCAGTGAGCTCAGTGTGAACTCACTCCAAGTTGTGAAGATTTTCGCATCGGGCTGCTCACAATGCTGGCCGTGCACATCTTAGCACGCGGGACAAATTCTTCCGCCTGAACAAATTCGACGCTGCGAAGGGGAGCTTGGGAGTGTGCTAAACATCGCTGTTGTTCATGTGAGCGAACAGCTTTCATTGGGGCACAACATAGATGTATGAGTCATTGCACATGTGGCAGAGCTGGGACAGCTCCGGCAAAAAGCAGGTACCAATGCCTGTCAGACCTGAATGACACGTTGATTGTGTTTAGATCATCCTCTCAGACGATCCCTGCATTGCCCAGATCGAATTGGCGGGTTTGGCTCCAAGACATTTTTCGGGAGGCGCCGACTGGTGGCAGTGCTAGAATGAACTCACCAAGCAATATTTCACTGTGTGGCAACACTCTGGGGTTGAGCCATTTCCCAGCTAGTGGCCGTTGTCAGACAAAGCTTTGCAGCGGTGCGACTTCGCGAAGAGCCGGTCCTCAGATGAGATAAGGCGCGAGCTAGGCAGCATTTTATAGTTTGGCCTCGCAGACTCGGTGTCTCAGTTAGGAACACCAGCTTACTTTGCTTTATGAAAAGCCTTTCCGAAAGATCTACAGAAAATCAACACACTACAAAATTTACTTAGAGGTGTTCCCAGAGTCGTTGGTATGGCTGTGCGCCTCCCTGTGTGGTGCGCCCTACAGTCAGTCTCAGGACCGTCGGTGGATCACCCACCGCCCTGCCGGGGGGCGCCCCGCCACGTGAGGGACGGGGGGCCACCCCGCCGTGACAATGCTTCCCCGGGGCACCAAAAAGCTGCGGGACGGACTCCGCGGGTGGCGCGATGTTGTGTGTGGGTTTGGCAGGTGGGGTGGAGGTCAAGATGGTGGAGACAAAGGAGAAGCAGATTCGACCTTGTGAAATCGCAACATATCGCAGGACTGTACTTGTTGCCCACCTGTACTTGTTTGAAGGAATCGCACAGCAAGACCTTTGGCTTGGCTGTTTTCCAGATCACCCTCCAACAGATACTTGGGGAGAAGAGTGCATCATGCTCCGCTGCATCACACCAGTCCTCCGAAAACTACCGTGAAAAAAGTGTCCGAAGAAACGATGTTCCTCTCACAATGGGTGTCTTTGGGGACAAGGTTGCGGGTAAGATGCCATGTTCACCATTTACTATTTGGGGAGTGAACATCTTCAGGGATCGTCCCATTGAAGTCCAACCGGTTGGTTTGGGGTAAGTTTCCAGACGTTCTTTGTTAGATCGCATTTGTGATCTACACTCTTACAGAAGCACTTCACCCCCCAAAACGATGGGAACTGGGAACTCCTTTGAAGTCTAGTCTCTTTCGTCGGGGGTTTCTACGACCGCTGCGACGCGACAATTGAATTTCTGCACTTTCTTCCCTGGTGCACTTCCCTGCCAGGTCGAAGTGCCCGAAGGGCCTGCACAGCCCAGGTGGATGAAGTGACAGTTGGCCACGGTCCCCCCTCAGTGGTGCTGCGGGTTCTGTGAAGTTGTTTTTGTTTGGAAAAGACGTACGACTGGGGACGATGCCGCACACCGGCAATTGTGACTGTATGGACTAGTTGGATTCATGACAGCGCAATTCCGAGGAACAACCATGTCACAATTGAGTGGAAAGGACAAGGACTATCCCATATAATCCCATCTGACGGATGGTATAGTCGGTATTATGCGTATAATATATAATATACATAGCTTTTCAGAGGTAATCATATAAGTTTTCGAAGTGTGCGACACGGTAATTGTTTTCTGCTTTTGAGATTGAAGACCTGAGAAACTACTTAGGAGCCAACTGCTTTTTCTTGGGCTCTTTTGTCCTTTCAATCAAAGCTGGCCTTGATTCCGGCTTCAATATGTTCATCCACACCCATCACTGCCAGTCGGCTTCAGTCGAGAATGAAGCTCTTCAGTTCCACTCGACAGGCTCTCGGGCTCCAACGAGGAGAAGCTACGCCCGGTGTCAGGTTTCGAGGGGTGAGGGTTGCCGATGTGCTCAGATGGGATGGACGGAATATCAATTTGCCGAACCTTTGAAAGCCCCAAGGTATATTTGCCTTGTCACGTTTGGGTTCGTTCGTGCGTTCGTTCGGAGTTTTCGTGTCAGTTTTCAGGGGCAGGGAGCCGCGCGTGCGGGGAGTTGGGCATGCCGCAGATTCCGCAGCTTTGGCTCAAGGAGGTTGGGATGCTCACGTGAAAGGCAGGAGAATTGCAGGCTTTTCACGGATCAGAGCAATCTTGAACTATTGGAGAGGGAAGCGGAGTGCTTAGACGTTTAGCCACAAATCCTTCAAATAGAAAGTGGCCCGACAATGCAAGGTGGAGCTCATCCCTGAGAGTCCGTCAAGACGTGGTTCACTGAAGGCCACTGAAGCTCACAGAAGCATAAAGAAGCCATGGAAGCAGGTTTGAGCTGAACTCCGCCCCACAGCACAGCACCCACGGAACTGGAGTGTAGCTGAGACATTCACTTCGTCATTGCAAAGGTTCTGTTTGTTCATCGATTTGTGACCCCATCCAATGTGGTTTTCCTGATTGAGCATCTCCCGACCACGTTGAACTGGCCGCACAGTCTGAAGATATACGAAAAGAAGGCGGTTCTTCGCCCCCTAATCATCACTCGCCCATGAGGCCACCTCATCTCCCGAATCCAGACGGAATGACCTGAGATCCAACCTGAAAGGAAGTCAACATTTGAACATGTTTTGATATTTTGAACCTCCTTGGTTCCTGAAAACGGTGCCATGGTGCCTCACCTTGGGACGGTGACCTTCGGGCTTCTTGGGCTTTGTGTCTCTGTGGCTCGCCTGAATGGTGCAATGAGATGAGTGAGACGAGTGTAGCCATGTGTAGCCATGTAGGGATGCGTGGGATCATTGAGCACTCTAGGAAGGCACCTTGTTACTAGCAGTATAAGTATATAAGACACCTTACTACTAGCGTCCTTGCTACTAGTAGCGATGCACCTTGCTACTAGTAGCTTCTTCTTACTAGTTCGGTTTTGGTTTATGTCTGGCTGGGGATTCAAGTCCATCCTGCGATACACGGTCACATCGCCCAGAGTCGACTAACTAAACTCGAGAAGTGTCAACCTTTGTGGACCATTGTAGCTTACCACACCTTTGTGTCGCACAAATCTCAAGTGTTTGCAGGTTCCTTTGCGGGGCGTGTTTCCAATCAACAAAGCCATCCCAACTTTCATTTGCGTTCGGTACCTGGACCACACACATCCGGTGCTTTTTGAAGCTCCTTGGCTCCTTCCTATCTCATTAAGCCGCCCGCTTCTTCCATCTGCCTTAGTGAAGATGTGAAGATCAGAACTTAGTGAACCTCCAAACCTCCTTGCAAGGATGTCTCCGCAACGGCTCCGCGGCAGCAGCTGGCGGAGCGCGTGGAGCGGCTAAGACGCGAGCTACGGGAAGCAGAAACGCAGTTGGCGGAGATGCCAGAGGAGGACAGGGGAGCGGAGCCAGGTTGATTGATGTTTTTTTGGTTTCACTCCATCCAGCATCCTCATAGAAAAAAGTGGAGTTGATCTCCTGCTTGCAGAAGATTCCTCCAGTAGCTTCCATAGTCATCACAGTCATGTGGGTAGAGATAAGCCTCACCTAGCTTGGTATTGATATGTATTGATAGACATGTTTGCTCTTTGAAGCCCAGCTGCGCACGCTCAGCTGCCCCAGGAGAGTGGCCTTTCCTTAGCTCCCTGGGCGCAGCCAGTCTGGACGCCCAACAAACAAAGAACACTTTTCTGCGGGTCACGGCACCGCTCGTGCCCCGGTAAACCCCGAAATGAACCGAAGAGTCTTGAAGACAATGTGTACGGCTTCCACTCATGTATGTTTCTATGTTTCGCACTCTAACTTCTTCCAAGCTCCAATTTCACCATCTCCAAGCATCTCCAGGTCTCTTCCACGTGTCTTGACAGAGCAAGTGTAGCTCCTGGCAAGGCGGTCTGCAACGCTCGCCTGCGCACGGGCGACCTCAGGGAGGCCTCGGAGTACTTGGCCAAGCAGCATGCGCTGCGGGCGCCGCGCCTCGGAGAATGGTGCCCAAATTGGTCGGTGGGTCAAGTGGGGATAGAATCATCCTGTCCACCTATTGAAAAACACGGCCCCCCCTAATAAGAGAAACTCGGTCGCATTTTTTCTAATAGGGGGTCCCTGAAATCGGGGGGGGTCCAAAATAGGGTCACCTGGGAAGAGCTGCAAAACCAAAAAGTCATCCAGAAAAACATTTATATAAACTCCTTTATTAAACTCGTATCAACAATTTCCTTTTCCGTTATATACAAAAACCTTTATTAGAATACATTAGACTAACAACCAAGGACCAAAGCTTTCGAAAGGTGATGTCGCTGTGCCATGCGGTTTTGCACGACCTCGGGGCAAGTGTGTTTGCGTGAGTCCGTGCCATTGGAGGAAGGAACACCTGCTGGTGCAAATGCGGCGTGTGATGGTGGATACACAGGGCGGACAGGTGTAGGCAGTTACGGTTGTTTATTGAACCCTATAAAAGAAACTACCCCCAAAGTCGACCATGTTGGTAGTTTGGTAGCGGCTTGAATGGGCGGTAATTTAAAAACACATATAAGCCGAATTTAAGGCTCCGGACGTGGTGTTGTTTTAATTGGGGAGGCCTTTTTGATAGGTACTCAGGATTATTGGGTCCTACCTGGAAGAAGTGTGTTTTGTAGCTTGTAACCTCGATTTTGAGTGGTCACTTGGCCCGAGGCACAAGGAGGTTGGGGAAAAGATGAACTATGCAACGAAGAAGACACAGCATCACATCACTTAGGCTGGGTAGCAGATGGACCACCAACTCAGATCTCTTTGTTTGGAGGAAAGACAGCCTTGTTGCCCTGCGCCTAAGATCAATTTGACTTAAGACCTACTTTTCAAGTCTACGCCTTAAGTTGGGTACCGTAGGTGCTTTCAATGCTGTACCCCACCTGTCACAGTTACAGTAGCCTCAGCAGGTGCTGTACCTCACTCAACTCCTGACCCTTCTCAACCACGTCATCGCTTAACCTCGCTGCTGGGTTGAGGTTTTACATTGAGGCGGCCCGGCAGAGCTTCCAGAAGGCCGGAGCTGGCGTGTCCAGCGTTGGTTCCTTTGGTCAAGAGTTGGAGGAAGGGAAGAGGTGTCCGACGATCATGGAAGTGGATGGCATGACTCCTTCGAAGACTGAAGACTATGTATTAACTCCTCTGCAAAAAGCATGCAAAACAAGTCAAGTTCATCCTAAACAACTATAATTCTAGAATCTGCAACCCTTCGACAAACCCTGAAAAACGTTAAGTGCACAATCAAACAACTCAACAATCCAATCAATTCAACTCAATTCAACCCCGCCTCTGTCCACAGAGGTCGGCCCTGACAAGTTTCCAATCCTTGAGAGCTTGAGAAATGGCCACGGGACAAAAACAGCACTGACTGCCATCTTCTAGGTGAAGAGAGTCCAAAGCAAGGAAAAAACAAGAAACGAAAACAGCTCTCGCGCATCTCAACTTCCTTTACAAGGAAATGTACAAAGAAGCTTCGAACAATTTCCAAATGAATGTTTTCCATCCAGATTCAAAGGAACATGCACACCATTCTGCAAAACCTGCCATAAAGGTTGGACACGGAACAGAAACCTCCGATCTTGGTCGGAAAACAACGACCCTTCACACGTTCCACAGTTCCGTCGTGGTGGGGCAGGTGTCTTATCCTTGTTTTCTTATTTCAAGCAACACCTACACCCTGGGCAAAAGAACACTGGTGCCTGCATACAATGGTTGCTGCCCTACAAAAAATTATAGGACCGGATAACCCCACATGGGAACAACTTCGAAAGATTGAAGCTGCAGACATAAAGTGCTGAAGAGTGAGCATGGGGAAGAGACAGGCGAGACAAATAGAATGCGTAAGGGTCGGTGTGTGTGGGTGAGGCGTGGTTTGATTGTAGGTGCACAAAGTACTGCGCCTGCCACGAAATCTGCACATGAAGGTTCACAAAGCGCTGCGCTTGCCACGAAATCTGCACATCCAGCGCCGGTGCCCAGCCGACGCCAGGGCGTACATCCGACCCCTTGGCAAGCAGCAAAGTGCTGTGCCTGCCACGAGATCTGCACACGGAATCTGCACATCCAGCGCCGGTGCCCAGCCGACGCCAGGGCGTACATCCGACCCCTTAGCCGACGCCAGGGCGTACATCCGACCCCTGCGGAAGGAGGAAGGCGGAGGAGGAGCGAGGAGGTGCAGCAAAAAAAACAAGAACCCCACACAACAATGTGGGGAACTACCAACTTCTTGGACGTCAAATTCATGAAATCGTCTGTCTCCAACGAAACAAACCCAACCCAATGATATCTACAATGCTTCTACATAATACAGACTTACACCCTGTTTGCACAGGAGTTACAGTAATACATTCAGTCTTCGAAGGAGTCATGCCATCCACGGACAGAGTAGATTGGTGAATGACACCCATAAGGCACAGTCAATACTAGACAATTTGCGAATGTGACGCGGATATTGCACTTTCTTCTGTTTTCGTCTTTGGGCAGCTCATCCTCTTCCCTTCCTCCAACTCTTAAGATCAGGTGACTGTTTGGCCTTCCGTTATACCCTACCCTGTAGTGGAAGTGAGGGGCAGGTGGTGAGGGACTACAGAAGCTGTACAGGCCATCATCCCCAGGCTCTCCGCAGGTGCCAAGGTTTGTGGATCCTGCCAGGGTCTGAAGCAGTTGAAGGGCATCGACACCTCCAACTCAGCTGCTTAGATCCGATCCATTTTTCGGGTGGGTGGTTCCAGCATGGACGACGCACGGCGATATGACAGGACTGGCTTGATCAAAAGCCGAAATCTCTAAATCCTCTTTTTGAGGAAAAGATCATCAGATTGCCACAGTTTGAGAAAAGGCACCACCAGTTCCTGTTCATCATTGGAACCCACATTTACTGGACTTGTCGATGATCTGAGGACCCCTTCATCAAACAGCATGAGGGCCAACTGCAGGCGCCTTGTTGGGCATGAGAGCTTTGGAAGTGTCTTTTGGGGCCATCCTAATGGGCGAGTGGAGGGTTCCGCCACTGATCCTTTCACACGATCGTTTCCATCAATTGTAGTGATTCTGTTGTTCATTTTCAGAGTCCATGTCAATGTCCTTCTTCTCCATGATCTCTCCATGTTTCTTTTGAGAAAAGGCACAATCGTGCCAGGTGCTTGGCGCTTTGGACCTTGCGCCCAACGACCCGCAGATTTGGCTGGAAGCGGCCCAGGCGTCTTGGGCCGATGGCGCAGAGATCTCGTGCTGTACCAGGACCCATGGTCGGGGTGGTAAATGGACACCCTTAAACCTCTTTTTGAGGGTATAAATAGACTTCCCTTAGACATGTTTGTTAAAGAGAATCTGGTCTAGGGAGGTTCCTAGATGGACATAGCCTGAGCCATCCGCTCCTAAAGCTGCAAGCAGTCTGCGAAGACCCGTGCAGGAGAACTCCAAAGCAACAGTAGCTGGAGTAGCTCTTTCGTTAGTGAGACATACCGAACAATCTCAGCTGGAGGGTTTCGGAGCAGAAGAACAACACCCCTTGAGCGATCACAAGATCCGATAACATCATACCCGGGATCAGCCCAGAAGATCTTTTTTCCACGGGTTAAGGTAGTGTTCCGCATGGCGCACTCCGGTGAGCCCAGCTCACCGGATGACGACCTGCCGTCAGACCCAGGTCTCAGTGTTGCTGGCAGCCTTGGGTGAGAGTGAAGGCCCGTTCTCCCCACAGCAACTTGATCCGTCCAACAGATGATGCAACACTTCTTGAACGGTAGATTGCTTGACATTCCACCGCTTCAACCTACCTCACTCATCACTTACTTGCCTATAGAACATATATCATATATCTATGACTGGCGAAGGATGGACTACTTGAGGATGACACAAGGAAAACACACACATCCACTTGAGGAATTCGACCGTGTCTTTCCACCACGCCGTATGAAACGGTCGAAAACGATCACCGAAAGAACCACCGGGACAGGTGAAGCGCAGCACGCGCTGGCCATGTTCGCGCGCGCCGCGCAGCTGGACGAATCCACACTGCCCAAGGCACTCACCTGGCTCTCGCGGAAGGAGCTGCTTGGATGAGTGGGGTAGAGGTGCGGAAAATGCAAACTACGCGAGCGTACTAGTAGCTTCTTGCTCCTCCCATGAAAAGCATTGGCTTCACCTTCTGAGAGACGGAACACGGATTTGGGATAGTGCATGGGTTTTATGGATGAATCAGCAAGCACTAGCATCATTAGCAACTAAAAAGGAAGAAAGACGGTATTTGGGCAGCTCAATAATATAAAAGGCGTCTTGAACGAGGGCCTTAATAAGTCTTAGTCAACCTTCCTTTTCGGCTCTTTCTTCTTCTTTTTTACAGCCAGCGGTCTCCTGGCGGTTTTTTCCCGAGGTCGGAAGCGAAGGAGGAGAAGCAACTCCGGAGCCTTGGACCGACCTGAATGATTCGGTCTATGCTGTGACAAAACAACTCATCATATTGATGTTGACATATGATTGCTCTGATGGGTTTGACATTTGAGAGTATCTTCAGTTGAGTGACGCAATTGGTGGCGAGTGCCAGTGGCAAAGGGGAAGACCGCTGAAAAGAGGTCCCCACCCAAAGAATGACGAAACAGATCGAACATCCATATATATTAAATATCATGATATATCCAGATACCATTGGCCAAGGGACAATCCCACCCCTTCTGTTGGCGCCCTGATAGGATCCCAGCCGTTTCTGGCCGCCCGAGGAAGGCCGTGCGGAACGAGGTGAAGCGCTGGAACCAGTCGGGACAGGTGCCGGCAGGGGCGCCCAGGCGGATGTGTTTGACACCCTGCATTCTAAATTTGGAACGCGCACACACACACACAGTCACACACGTTTGAGTTTCTGATTTGACGCGGGACATTTTTATGCTTCAGAACGGAAGAATGGCGATTCTTTTTATGGCTTGAATTTTGGATGAAAGAAGCCTGTCTACAGAGTTCTTTTGCAGGAACTCTCACGTCCCTCCGTGGCGTTTGAACGACATTTCGGTGGAAGAGGTTTGCAAAGCGCTCCAAGATTCACTCAGTTCCAATCTCTTGTCTATTTGGGGTTAGGATCACCTTTAGCTTCAGATGGAGTCCAAAAAGGGATACCATGAACTTGCACATTCTGAGATCTATCCATGTGCTAATCCTATGCGGAGGATCCGGTGCAGGCGGTGCAGGTGTGTGGTCAGCTGGTCTTCTCCTCCGTTTGACGACTGAGGAGATCCCGGTGACCTTTGTGTCCACCTTGCGAGAGGGCATCTGCTTTGGCCGTTCGGGCTCCTCCTGCCGATGGCCCCAGTGGTTGATGCCATTCAAGGGCTGTTTCGAGTTGTGGAACTGTTGAGCGCAGATGTTTGGGATCTGAAGGTGTGGATTTGGTAGATTGGTGCTTGGGATTCTCCAGGGTGGGTAAACGAACATAGCACTTGCCTTATTGAAGATTTCTTTGATCTGTATACTGAGTGTGTCCTAAGTGCGCCCTCTGTGCTATGTTACTTCGGCAGGGACAAGATTCGCTGACTTCGACATTGCTTGGGACATATCCCTTCGAACGTAGGCAGAACGGTAGAGACATGACCCCTCCAAAGTTCACTTTGAAGTGTGCGGAACCGCAGATTTTTCGGTTCCACAGCCCGGTGGTGCCCCCAAGGATGCCAGGCACGAGGTTTCTCACTATGGCCGCGCCGCGAAAACCGGAGGACCTCTTCCAAGAGGATCTCCTTCCGCCAGAACCCATCGAGCCCATGGAACCCAACGAGCTGCTTCCGGACCGATCGAATGAATCCGCGCAGCTTCAAGGGATGGAGTCGGAGGAGTTCCCCCAGACACCCCGACGGTCCTTCTACACGTGGATCTACAACGTGCCTTCAGGCGTTCCAGCGCCTCCCAGCTTCAGGTTGCATGTCCGACATGTCATGTGCTTGCAAGACTTCCTGCAGGATGTGGAGGCTTCGCCCACCAAGTTGGAGATCTGCGTGGCACGAGCTCGCCGAAGAGACGGAGACCACTTTGAGATGAAAAGAACAGTAGCAGCGACGTGGAAGGACCAGTGAGTGACTAGTGACTATGGGCTGTGGTGACTACTTGTTACTGGTCAGCTCTTGGTAATGAAACAGCTTGGCATCACTAATGGTGATTTTGCCATCAAGATATTGAAGATGGGGGTGGGTCAAAGTGAAAGTGTGTGCAATGCTTTTGCGTTGCTATGCTACAGTAGCAGCAGTAGCATGGCTACTTTTCTAATGTTTCTAGAACCTGCTTTCTTTCACGGATTTTTATTTTGACCCACACCATCTCTAGCTTGTCCTTTTTCGACTTGCATACCTGGCCTGGTGCTTTGGCCTGGCTTGGTGGCCTTGTTTATTTCAGTGTGTTAATTGAAGTGCTTCAACTCAACGGCACATGGCCACACTTTTTGGATCTTTTTGGCAAGGCTGCTAGGTTCCACAGCTCTTTTCCAAGAGACTTGGGTGGTTGTTAAGGCTATTTAGACCACTCGTCAGTGCTTGAGCACGACAAACCTCTTTTTGACATGGTGTCGTGGAGGAAAAAACGAGCTTGTTTCAGGGTTTGGCTGACGCGAACATTCTCTGGTGTTTAAACAGGCACAGAATTTACGAATGCGTTCGTCTATCCCTCACAGCAGGGAATTTGCAGTACTGTATGATTTTCAGGGAATGTCGATCACTCATCTAAATTAATCTACATGTTATATATTCATACTGTTCATACTGGGCCCATTTGGTCAAGTTAGAGGTGGACAAAACAAAATCAACCTAGATTCTTAACCCAACAGCAGGTTGCTACTTGTAGTAGCAACTCCCTTTACTGGAACTCTTCAAGCATTACAACTATGTGTTGCAAAAGGTCCTAAACCGAACCCAAATCCAATTGTTACTGTAAGTGTGCAAAGGGAACTGGGAGGCAAGAACGGGAGCAAAAAAAAAGGGATCCAGGAGCTGGGGAGCTGGAAGAAGGAAAGAGCATCAGAACTGCAAAAACGCTGTCCCGGCGCAAAAGCGACACAAACACCCGCCGTACTGTTGATCCTAACCAGCAAGGAGCTCCTTGGTGGGGAATATGGATACCCCCGGCTCCTTAGTGAGGCCATGGAAGTTCGATTGCAGCCTGTCCGAATAGCAGCCAGGTTCCTTGGTGGATGTGCCAGCACCCACAGTTGCAAGGTGGGAGCCCGACACCCAAGCAGCCAGGGCTCAGGTTCGTTTCAGTGGTGCCCAGGACCCAACTGCGTTCTGCTGAGATGCATCGCTTGTCCGGGGCGACCCTCCAAAGTATAGCCTCCCTGTGTCTTGGCGAGACAGAAATAACACCCACCAAGAAACGCCTCGCCCTTTCTGTCTCCACCTGGCAGGCAGGGATCCAAGGTTTGAAGGTTAGCCTGAAAGCACCTAGCGTTCCAAGGTGTGACACCACCCACGGATCTGAAGTTCTGGAGTGGCATTCACAGCACTTCACAGCACCAGGAAGCAGGGTTCCAAGGTTTCTGGTGAACACAGCACCTGACAGTGCCCAAGTTCCGAGGCAGCGTTCAGATCACAGCACCTGACACAGGAGCCTATGGATTCCAAGGTTCAAGGGTTCCAAGGCTCGCCTATGGGTTCCAAGATTCTAGGGTGGCACCTGACAGCACCCACGGTATCAAGCAAGTGTTCCAACACAACAGCACTTCCAGGGATTGACACCCAAGTTTACTTGCAACTGTGCGGAGCTGCAGATTTTCTGGTTCCACAGCTCAGTGGTGCCCCAGAAGATGCCAGGCACCGGGCTTCTTAGCATGGCCGCGCCGCGGAAACCTGAGGACCTCTTCCAAGAAGATCTCCTTCCGCCAGAACCCATTGAGCCCATCGAGCTGATAGACGCGCTGCGACTGATGGACGGATCGAATGAATCCGAGCTTCGAGGGATGGAGTCGGAGGAGTTCCCCCAGACACCCCGACGGTCCTTCTACACGTGGATCTACAACGTGCCTTCAGGCGTTCCAGCGCCTCCCAGCTTCAGGTTGCATGTCCGACATGTCATGTGCTTGCAAGACTTCCTGCAGGATGTGGAGGCTTCGCCCACCAAGTTGGAGATCTGCGTGGCACGAGCTCGCCGAAGAGACGGAGACCACTTTGAGATGAAAAGAACAGTAGCAGCGACGTGGAAGGACCAGTGAGTGACTAGTGGGTAGTAGAATTGATCAACGCCTCCAAGGGGGTGGCGAAAAAGATATTGCTATCGCCCATGTCGATGGCAAGATCAAGATATTGAAGATGGAGTGGGTCAAAGTGAAAGAGCTTGCACACCATAGATTTGTGCACTTTTTTTATGCCTTTCTAATTTGCCTCGAACCTGCCGGATTTCACAGACTTGGACCCACATCATCACCTTGTCTGAGTGTGCGCCTGGCGGCAGGGCGCTGCCTAATGGCTTAGTGGCCTTGTGAGTGACTTGGGATCGTGCAAAGTCAAAGGGATTTGTGTTGATTCAAGTGCTTCACGCCAGCCACATGTTCAGGGCCGCTAGGCTCCACTAGAAAGGGGTGTGGCTGTTAGCGCTACCTCGCCAGGTTCATGCACTCAGCTTTTTGGTTATTTGGTTTTGCTTCCATGCCACTTGGCATGTAGCTTGGCATGTAGCTTGGCATGCTAGTGATAGAGCAGAGTGATTGCTGGTGATAGCGTTTGAGGAGGATAAATTCGTCGGGGTGTTTGTGGGAAGGAAGGTTCATGCAGGCTCCATTAATCGACGGAGGCAACTGTGAAACATCAGGGATATGTGTGGTTTCCGTAAACATTCATCTACACTTGATGATTTGCGTGCATATCAAATGACCAAATTACCCAAAAGTGTGAATCAAGGGAACCTCAAGCAGTCCCATACTTCGTTCAGGTGAGCGGTTCGCACTCTTAACTCGCCAAGGGCAACACCCCGAAGATGTGGCGAAGATCGTCAGCAACTTGCAGGCCGACGGCGTCGACGGCGGCTGTGGACGAATACTGTAAGAGGAGCAGGTGCTTCCTACTGTTGTGGGTGTTGAAAAGATTGAGTACAAAGGATTGGCGAGACATGCCAAGGGAAGAGGTTTTTGACTTCCATTCACATCGAGTGTCCAAGCTCATTTTTCGTTTGGGCGGTTTGGATATCCAAGGCCTATTTGCCTCAGAAAACTTCAAATGGCATCAACCCAGGCAGAAATGGTGAGGCAACCATCCCCTTCCACCGTTGTCGACTTCCCCCTTTCCCAGACAGCAGGTGAGGGATGTGTTCCCCACCAAGGTCTTATCAGTGCCGCTTGGCTGAGGGTTTTGGATACGGTGTTGGATTGGCTCCACCTGCAGCAGAGCACACAATGGGGAGAGAGCGCATTGTTTGGTCCTGCAGGATATGAGCAATCTGTCTTTGGACCCAGTGTGTGGAAGAAACTAGCCACCTTCTTTTTTCACAAAAGAAAACACTTGCGTCGTTGACTTTTCAGACCCCGAGGAATGTGCTGGAGCTGTTGCCGGAAGGCTTCACCAAGCGCTTGAGCGATTTGGCGATCCAGAAGTACCAGCAGCCGCTGGGTTCGTGAGGAACGTGAGGAAAGCGGGGACGTCTTTTGAATACTTTTGGATGTCTACTGATCTGGCAGTAGTAGCTTGCAAGAATCGTGGTCAACGACTCCTAACAACGAGACAACTTCTTCCTGAGAGTGCGACTTGCAGCGCTATTCAGAGCTGTTTCCAAAGGCTGTGAGATTGCTTGCTGCAACATGATTCCAAGAATCAACACACAAAGGGTAAACTGACACCATGTAAAAAAAAGGGGACCCAAGTACTGCAACCTCAAACGGCGCAACACAAGAAACAACTGCTGTCCGGTGGTCAGGAAGGGGCTCGACGGCAGTTGTTTGCACCCGATCCCTGTCTCTCTCCGTTCCTTTTACTGTTACTGTATTTCGCAACATGTATTTTCAGAATTTTTCAGCCACCACCCACACCGATGATTGCTCGTTGCCGGTGATGTGGAGCACTTTGTCCTTTTCTCTTTCCATCCACATGTCGATACGTTCCGTCTGAAACTGTCCGAGGTTCAGCAAGAAATTTCCCAAGATCGATCCCAACGACCTCAATGACAAGCTCTTTGGCTGGAAGCAGTCCTTGGAAGAGTGAACTCCAAGCACCGCATGATTTCCTTAGTACAAGACTTGATTCGTGCATACTCTTTTTGGTTCCGCGAAGCCATTGACTGACGCCTGGTAGTCCTTTGTGGAAATATCGAATGTTCCACTGGGCCTCCTTCCAATTGGCTCCTGCCCTTGGGGAAGAGCCTGGCGGAACAGATGCAGGGAGGGCAGGATGAAGATGCATTTGTTTCCGCAGGTCCACTAGCATAAGAGCTCATGGATAGTTCAGAGGTCTATGAACAGAGACTTCGGGTTTCACGGGCTTTGCATCTCGAATCCAAGATTTGCGGACCACTAGTCACTAGATCACCAAGTGTTGGCCCAAATCCTTAATGATTGGGAGAATTCACACGCCTTTGTCCAAAACGTTTAAGCCACCAATAAATATCTTCCCCAATCTTTGTCTGGACCGAGTAACTCTCCCTATCAACCTACTCCACCCACCCCGCCGCAGTCACCGGCCTCGGCAGGTTCTTCAGCTTCCAGGCCACGAACGCCGATCGCCTGGGGGCCGGAGAGCTGCGCAAGTGGCCGGCCACTCGGTGCCAAGCATATGGGCTGCAAGGTCGGTTGGAGGGGTCAGTAGGATGGGAAGATGGGAGCAGAAGGTCCTGAGATCATTAGGTGACACATCTTGAGGCTTCCTTAGTCATCAAAGAGAATCCAGCAGATGCCCTTAGCTGAACGTCTCTTCAGGCTGTGATGGGCTTCAGGGATCCTCTTGCACCCCACAACACACCACCATGGCGTTTCACCCGGGTTTCACGTCCTCCACTGGAATCCCACCAAAACGCAATGGTTGCAGCTCTCGGATTGGACGCGTGTCATTTTCGGGTCGAGGAGATGTACCGAGACTCGGAGGACTTCAAGATCCTCACCCGAGCCGCTTGGACTGGGGACGCACGGCAGTTTTTGGGCCAGCGGGTGAGACCCTTCAAAACGACATCAAGTGAACGACGAGACATGAGTCAGCTGACTTAGACCAAAACTCCAAGAAGTGTTTAGTTTGGGGGTTCCCAACCCCTGTCACTTGCCTGGCATCACCGGGTGGGTGCCACCGATGAGGTGATGAAGGGCGCTTTGAGGGGCTTTCTGGAGCGGACCCACGTGCCGCTGCCGCAGGCCGTGTGCGTCGTGCGTTTGTAACATCTGAACCATGGTGGTTCCGAAGGCAGCCGCAGGGCTGGTAATTGAACTCGGGTGCAACAGGGTGCAACGGAAACCCTGAGAGTCCCGTCATCCAGCCATATAACTCACTGCACTAGCTCCTGGCATCGCTACTGCATTGCTAAAGAGAACGGGTGGATGATCACTCCCGAGCGCCAAAGAGCCAGGCGGAGGACTATGGGCTGGTGTCCCTCGGTCGGCACAAGCAGAACGAGGCTTTAGACCTAACCGAACAGCGCAGACATGTGTACATACCCGGAAACACATGTTGCGTGAAGTATTACTTTGATTCGTTCCATTTGAGTGCTCGTGTCTTGCTGCACCCTTTTCTCGAGGCTTTGGGCCGCAGTCTACCCTGGGAATGGTGGACGGCATGGGTTCGGAGCTGAGCCAGTGACGGAGATCCACCGGAGCGTCTTTAGAAGCTACAGGGAAGTTTCCGAATTGATTATTTTTGTGTCCAAGGACAACGGCCAGACTACCCTGCCCTCACCGCCATATCGACCTGCTCCAGCATCCAAGGTACCATGTCCATCAAGGCTCTGCCAGTAGCTGTGTGCTCTACGCGCGCGTCGCAGGCCTGCCCAGGGCAGTGAAGGGGCAACGACTTCGTCTGGTGTTTCCGAAAAGTAATCGCAGTAGGAAAGGAGGGTGTCTACAATACAGTTTCAGGAATATTGGAGGCCATTCCTATTAAATTGGAGGCCATGACCTCAGGATAGTTTCGGTTTCTCTTTGGAATCAGCTGTGGGAGCCCTCCATGCCACCGGCTCTTGGAACCTTCGTGGCTGTGAGCTCTCCAATGGACCCTACGTGGCCAAAGCATGTGCGAACGGGCGATCTCCCACGACCTATGTCAATGTCATACACAACCTCTCAAGATCCATTTAAGCATTATTATTATATATATATATATGTACATATCATTATATCACATATCAATAATATATGTATGAATGACAGAAACATTTTTTTTGATTCTTGTTGCATTGGCCAAGACTTCACCTAGTTTTCCTTGGAACGAGTTCTAGACCAGGTCCCATGAAGAACCCACTCAACTAAATCGTCAACCGCCAAGGAGCTTCGACTCCCATCAGCTTCATCGATCCTCGTGGCGCGCCGCCCGTGGAGGAGAACGAATTGATTTTTGGGTTCTTCGGTCAATAGAACCACCTTCGTATGATTCATGCGGTGGTTCAAGTTTCATTGTAGGCTTTGAGTCTTCGGAAGTTTTGCATCATTTTGCATCTATCAACGAGTCAATCGAGTCAAGTCACCACCAATCTTTCCCCAGATCTTGGTTGCGACTCTTGGGAGAGGTAGGATCCTTCAGGTCGGGCTGTAACCAATTGCCATGGTTTGGTGACCGTTCGTTGGGCCTCCAGGACTATGAGCAATACGAGAAGGCTGGGGCCTGGGAAAGGGGACGACGTGGGAGATAGGACAGGAAATCTGATGATGAATAAGCTTTCATGGGTAACAGGTAACACAATGGGGTGGCTTTGGACACCTACAAAGAAGAAGTCTTCAACCCATACGGAGAAGAGATGTACAGTAAGAGAGGGTTAGCCAGGTCCAGCACCGTGTGCTGGCGTTTCTGATGTCATGTTGTCACCTGTGATTTTACCCCAGTTTAAGAAATCAATCAAACATTTTTTGTTCTTTTTGAGGAGGCGTCGATAGCCAGAAAGGAGACAAAGCACCAAGCAATCAAGAAGAAGGACCAAACCACCAAGAAGATCCTTTCACCACCAGACACCCATCCAATGCCCGGCTGTTCTGGCCAAATCTGCCGCCTCGCACCACCTCTGCTGTCTGCGAAGTGCTTCGCGAGGAGAGGGACTTTGAGCCCAAGGCGCCCTTCCACCACAACGAACCTCGGTTGCTGAAAGCCGTGTGAGCTGTTCTGGTGCAATCTCAAGCTATGTATGATGAAAGACAAGTTATATATCTCCAAAGCTACAAGGGTTCATTATGAAGATCCTTTAGCACTTCCTAGTTCGATTTTGTTCAAGGTGTTTCTCTTCCTCAAGCACGAAGACCATGTTTCGGCAATGTGTGCTTTTGCAGACTTCAGGAGTACTTCTTTCCACGCGAAGGCGATCTCGTGTGCTTTCCGTCCTGGCTACCTGGCCGATTGCTCTGGGTGCTTTAGTCTGCAGAAACCAACACGGACTGGCCGGTTTACACCACACACCTCTCGCAATTCGTGTTCGCCCAATGGACCAAAAGGGACTGTGGGGTCTAGTCACTTTGAGACATACCCACCCAAACCTAGATTTCGTGATAGACATTTAAGGTTTGACGCTGTTCCGAAGACAGGGTCCGGTTGAGGACTTGGGGGGATCCATCTCGTCGTTTTGCGACATCTACGGACCAATGCGTGGGACCTGAACGGATCGGAACAGCTTGGGTCACAATATCTGCAGATGGAGGTCCCACCAGAAGATTGTCAGTGGAATTTTGATGCTACATCTGATTAGCAAGACAAGCCTGGACGGTGGGGGTGGCTTGATGAGAGACTGACTGGCCCAAGCAATAAAATTAGCAAAAGCGCACATCCCCTGAATCACGATGTAAGCTGAAATTCCGGACTGAACCACTCGGAGGCGGGGAGGACCCAATTGCAAGGCGCCAACCATGCCACTGTCACCACAACATACCACAACATCACCAACGACTGCGTTCAACATCCGCCGATCACAGTGCAATGGGATATGGCCTCCGTCCAACCCGTGCCCCGCACGAGGTTGGTCCACAATGTGCCGTCGCACTGGGAATCTGAGACTCGAGTGGCCTTTGCAGCCAACCTCCAAGGCACATGGACGTGTGCGCTGTGTGTGGCGAAGCCAAAGAGTTGAGTGAGCCCAGCCGGGCCCAGCTGGTTTGTTCGCAGATTGTAAGTGTTGAAGCTAGGTCCCTTCTTGGAAACAGCTTGCAGTATGTAAATCACCATATGTTTTGGAGTGTTTTTTCCGTCATCAGCTTCCCACATATCCACCAGCTTTGTCCCATCGGCATAGTCGGCTGTGGAGGCCAAGGGGCCTGGGATAGCTGGTTCCACACGGCCGTGGGCTGGAGCTGATGCCGCAGGCGCACGCGCTGGGCGCGCTGGGCTGATGAAAGCGGTGGGGTGTGTGGGTGTGCGTGTTAGTGTTTACTACTAGAATGTTATGTAACTTCTTGCTCCTAATAGTATGGCCAGGAGCCGCGTTCGTAGCGTCCTTGCTCCTAGTAGCGATGCCAGGAGCCCCTAGGAGCTTCTTGTATTGCTAACATTACTATTATTATGTTATGTGATTCTTGATTGACTTCTCTTCCGGACAGGATCTTGGTTGATGGAACAGATCCCTGACCACCTGAAAGCCTGTAGCTTTCTGACTGCCTACGGCAAGTTTCTGCAGGGCAGGTTGCATTTTTACTATATGCAACGGCACGGAAAGCATCATTCACCTGAATCAAGGTTGCAGGATGTTGGGAGTACGGGAGTAATTAATCGTGATCCACCTGGCATCATTGGTCCAAACCCTAGCACTTGCATTTCTCAACCGTGACTTTCACCTACAAAGATTTCCATAGTCCCGCAACCATAGACATGGTCGAGACAAGAAGCACAGCCAAACTCGTACTTCGTGCAGGGTAAGAGTGCTGTGAATGTCTACTTTTGTTGAATGTTACAGTCGTCATCGTCATGGAAGAAACGGCACCGAACAAGCCAGAACAAGTTCAACAGTGCACATTTTGTTCTCCCTTGGATTGCTCCAAAACCAATCTTTCCAGGCGCAAGTGAACACCTCCCAAGCGCGGCCTCAAGCGTCGCATGCGATGCGGAGAAACACAGCAGTGTGGGTTCGGTGCCAGGGAGGTGCGATCCAAACCGGCAGCTCAGGGAGGTGCGATCCTGCGACTGCGATAGCAGGGTGTTGGGCCCTAACACAGCCATGAGATCCAAGAGCTGTAGTATATTTCTGACGCCGCAGGCTTGTCCACCAAGTTCAGGATTTTCTGTTTGAGATTATTTGAGTATCTCCATCTTCATCCCAACCACCCAATCCCTGACTACCTCAATCAAGCCCGGCCACCGTTGCGATTGGCTCAAAGTTAGCCACTTGGATATGACGGTGATATGCTCACGAGCGCCGCTCAGGCACTGCTGAGGCACCACACTCCCCGATGCATCGCCAGCTGGCTTCACATCGAATGGTCACCAAGACATGCCACAGAAACATGTAGATATTTTCTTAGTTTTCACATCAGAACGGCCGTGTGTAGTCACAGGCAGCAGAACATGTTTTTGCTCAGTTCAGAAGCAGGCATTTGACTCACTCCTCAGGTTCTCATGTTGGAGAACTGGACAACTCAGGTACATCGTTCAAAATCCATCAAAATCATCTTAAGAAAATATCGCATGGAAGGAATGCAGCACACGTGTATATATGTGTACCATGTATGCCTCTACTCTAGAACGTTTTCTCCGAATGCAACACAACTCGCGCTGCTTTTTCCTGGTTTAGTTGAAACCTCATTGCCATGGCTGCCATGCTGGCACCAGCCAAGCCAAGGCGGTGACCGACCTATTGGCTCGTGGACCTGACCTGCGGGGTTCTCTTCTCTCTTTGGTCAGCTGAGCTGCTTTCAATCTATGTGTTGAACTGGGCCGGAACAGGGCGCAGCCCGTTTGGGGAGCTTTCTGCATCCCTTCATTGTTCCACCTAAAAGGCAACGGAAGCTTTTGTTCCCAGGGATTCAGGTTCCCATTGGCTCCGGGATTCCTGATGGAAGGGCTTTCCAGTGGTTCCATCTTCCACTCACTCGAAGTGCCAACGGCAAAAGCAGATTCCGCTCTTTGTTCTTGGTCAACTCTTGTCTTTTGCCGCTTGCCGTTGGCACCACTCAGTTTTCAATCAGAGAGGAATTCCACCCCTTTCACAGGCAGATCCAAAAACAGAAATCTGCACGGCACCCACCCGATGAGCTCCACCGCGTGAGCTCCACTCTCCGCCGCTGTCAGCTTCGCCCCGCTGGAGAAGACCCGCAGCGCTCCGGTGACCGTGATCCACGAGGAGGAGCGCTTTGCTGCGCCGTGACCGTGCCAACGGGGCTTTGGAACAGGTCGCTGGGTGGGTGAGAAAGTCGAAACATAGGTCGTTTGGTCCTGGAAATGAGCTAATTACTTAATTGCGTTGAGTGCTGTAAACGCCGGAGCTCAAATGCCCAAGCTTTTCACAGGAGCCCAGCAAGCAGCCCCTCCTGCGCTCGCGCACGCTCTCGGTGGTCTCCACGGACCCTCAGCGGGGGAAGACGGGGAGGAGTTGGTGATGAGTCTGTGCGTTGTGAAACTCCGGTGACCCTAGTATATACTTTCGCATAGTAATCCCATGATACAGTATATTGACAGTGTCGCAGATGTTCACTTATGAGAATTAGTCTTATTTTCACAGCTTTGAAGAGGGGAATCAGTTTCTCTTTGAGCCTTTGTGCAACGGCATTCGATGCCCAGTTAATTTTATCCATAGAACCGCTACATTTTAGTTCATCAACGAGTGTCTGAGTCAAGATCAACCGGGTTATGCTTTCCCATGTTCATTAGAAGGTTTCTTCCCGAGCGAATGCTTTCAGCAGCCAACAGCCGACATGATGTTTAGGATTTCTATCAGAAATAAAAGTCAAAATACGAGACAACGGTGAGGCTTCAATCACGCGCATGATAGTCTATCTAATCCACACCCAAAAGTCTGAAAGAGGTTTTGGTGGCACTGGTAGCCCAATACCTTCGAACCTTTGGAAATGACATCACCGGACCTTCACAAGCTGATTGCATATGACCTGGCACTTCCCGGTTCAAAGTAGGTGACCAGTTGGTGGCACCACTCTGGGCAGATGCGAGAAATGCGGCGCCCACTTCTTTGCCTTTTTTTGTTGGTCCTGCCTGTGGCCTATGTGCCGCAGTGGTGGGACCAAGGATGGCCAAGGCGAAGAGTGGGGAGTGTGGCAGAAGCAGAGCTGTTGTCACAGCTGGCAGTTTTGCTGCCGAAGACTGCCATTGGGCAGCATTTTCGGAGCTTCCAAAGGACACTCCTTAGAGCCTGATTTGGCAGGGCATGGAGCTTTGGCAGACAAGGATGCAGCACTGGTTGTGGAATATGATGGATTCTGGAGGCATGCGGAAAAGAAGAACGTGGCATTGCTGGAATGTGCTCCAGAAGGATCCTTTGTTGTGCGCTTTAGTCATACGATGAGAAAACCCTTGTCACAAAAGAATACCCTTTGGATCACGGTAGATGCCTGGCAACAGGGGCACCACAAGCATTGTCAAGGACTTTGCAGAGTGTATTGTCAAAGATGCTGTTTGACATCAAACGGTTATAGACTTAGACCCTTGCGTTTTGCAGCATGTTCATCGGCAGCTGAAGTTAAGTCCACTGTTGTTGTCCAAGAGCGCGCGGAAGTTTACAACGGTCGCTGCAGCTTTGGCAGGGAAGAACTCCAGCGACGAGGTTTGCAACTATCTTGCCACTGAAGGCTTTAGCCCAGAAGACATCAAGCTGATCGAGACAGGCTTGTGCACCAAAAGCATTGAAGGACATTTGCGACCCAAAGTGCAGTGGCTGCTGGAGTTGGGGCTCAGCAAGACGCAAGTTGCAAAGGCAGTTGCAGGTTTTCCGCCAATTCTTGGACTTAGCATGGAGCCCATGGTGGAGTGGCTGCTGGAGTTAGGGCTCAGCAAGATGGAAGTTGCAAAGGCAGGTTCTCCGACAATTCTTGTGTACAGCATCAAGCAGAACTTGAAGCCGACGGTGAAGTGGCTGCTGGAGTTAGGGCTTAGCAAGAGCGAAGTCACTATCCAAGTTGCATGTTTTCCTCGTTTTTTGGATGCAGTATTGAGAAAAACCTAAAGGTTAAGGCCATCTTGCTCAGGTCCTGGTTCTCAACAGAGCCTTGCAAAACTGGTTGCGAGGCTTTCAAGGGTCTTCTCCTACAGCTACAGCTGCTTGAGTGAACGTTTGATCATTTTGGGCCGGCGGAACAAGACGACCCAACTGGCTCGTGCCCCTGACTTTGACGGACGATCGGACGAACGCTTTTTGGAGACCTTCGGCTCTTGAGGACTTGGTTGCACTGGTTGCACCGTTTGATATCTGGTGGAAGAATGCCTCAGACACAACAAAAGAGAGGCCAATGGGTGGGATGGAGCTTGCCTCATGAACGTTGTCGGGTGGCTCCAGAAGCCAACGAGCATATCAAACTAATGACATGTTGTACGATTTTCCGGTAACTGCCGAGGCAGGGTCTTTATGGGGGATCTAGGCATCTATCACTTCTGATGTCTATTGGTTGATCCCCTGTGTTGCAACAAATCTCTAGTTGTGAGCTCCTAGTAGCTTCTTGTTACTTGAAGTAAGGCCAGGAGCCCCTAGTAGCGAACATTGTTGGGCAGCACTTGTTGCTGCCTGCACACCTTCGTGACTTCGTGGGTTCCGCTCCTTGGAGAACGTGGTTCCGCTCCTGCTGAGAACAGGTGATTGTTTGCACCCCTTTGGACTTGCAATCGTAGACATTTTGGAGACGCTGATCACTAAAGTCACTAAAGACCTAGTATATATATATATAGAGTAGATATCAACCATCCACCAGATTTCAGTCAGGCCACCTCTTTCCCAAGAGATGCACCCTCTCGTTTAAAACACGTCCAAGGCTCCGGTGTGTTTCACCCGCCCAGGACAGCTCCTCTGCAGCTCGGGGCCTCGGTGGTGGATGACCCTTCAGACGTCAAAGACAGGAGGCAAGGAGTTTCTCCGCAAACTTCATTGGCCCGAGTTTTTTTTGTTACTAGTAGCTACTTGCTCCTAGTAGTACGGCCAGGAGCCCCTAGTAGCGTCCTTGCTCCTAGCAGCGATGCCAGGAGCCCCTAGTAGCTTCTTGTTACTTGGTTGGTGGTAGACTATTATCAATTGAATCTACCATGGCTTTTGGAGGCTCTCCTCTGCACAGGGTTTGAGGAAGGAGCATCTTGGAGCTGAAACTTATGAGGTTTCTGGAGCCTTTGGGTTTCTGGTTCGTTGAAGCGCATCAAGCTCTGAAGCCTCGGCCGAGGCCTTCTCGCCCAACTCCACGCCCTTCCAATCCCCAGTTTCGGAGAGCGCCTTTTGGACACCCCAGTCCTCAGCACCTTGGCAGCTGGGGAATGCTGGGGAAGGCCGCGTGGAGGTGTTTGGGGTGTTTGGAGTGAAGCTCATAGTACATTTTGAAGTTGTTTGTGAGTTTTGGCAATCACAAGCCATATGTAGCATATGCATGTCTTTTGTGCAGTGTGTGATGGGTATCTTCCAATGCAATTGGTCTTGATCCCTGCTTGTGTCCCTGGCCTGGGCATTCTGGTGCAAGGCCTCTCCCACCGATTCAGTGGCCTTCCCTCCAGGCTTCACGCCAGGTGGGTTGGACGTGAAGGGGCCAGGGAGTTGGAGTGGAAGAAACCAAACAAAGCTTCTTTGAGGACGAGAGAGATAGAGAGCAAGCAAAGTAAGCTCAAGTAATTTATATATACTGTAGATTGGCTGTCACCCCAGTGGCCCTTTGCCAGCTGTCCCGTTATCACTCCACCCACACTCCTGTCTAGTGACATTTGTCAAGAAGAAGTCGCAAACACCCCGTATCCGTTGAAGGAGGCCTCCGCAACACGGTTTGTCCACAAGTTGTCCACAAGCAAACTGGTTTTCTGGATGTCTTCCCTGGAGGGCGGATTGGTCTCTAGAACGCATAATTTACCAACTGCTCAATGTGAAAACCTTGCCAAGTGGGATATACCGATATACCGATACTATACCTATGAACAGGTTGCCACCTAGAATCAACACCATTCAACACCACCATTCCTCTTTTGTGGATCCAACTTTGGCTGCACCGCAACAAAAAGAATGAAGCCGCATTTGCGCCAGCCAGGTCAACCGTACTTGGGTCCCTTGCCGCGCACCAGCTCGGTGGTTTCGACGACCTCGAGCATCTCGCTGCAGCGCACCGCCTCCAATGGCCGCCCCTATCCACCGGGGCTGGGGTGGACGCCACAAGTGACACCACACGATGATGGCGCGGGGGGGGTTTGTGACGGTTTGGGAGGTGGAAAGTCGAGAGATGCGGAGATCGACGCAGCCATTCACAGCCATTGCAAGGAACAGCAGACCTACAGTAAATCTCCATGCCAAAGGGAGTTGGAATAAGGTTGCCGAAGCCAAATCAACTGCCTAAGCCACGGCAAATGCACTTATGCTTTGCCAGCTTTTGTTTTGAAAGGCCTCACTATTCTAACGCTGTGCTCTGGGGCTGCAGGATTTCGCTTCATCAACTCCCGCAGGCTTGCAGCGGAAGCTCTCCTTTGGCCTCTCTTTGGAGGAGCCCAAGTTGAGGCACAGCCCGGCCGACACAATGTTGGTTTATCTGGGTGCAAATGCTTGCCCCCTGGCAGACGTAAAATTTAAAAGTTTGCGGCATTTGTGCTCTTACTACACCAAGTTGATATATGTTCAAGACACAGTTCGCATTTTGTGTGGGGTTCAGTTTGCATACCCCCTGCTCACAGATCCTACAAAAACTTAGGTACCCCAAGAATGCTTATAGCATTACGGGTACCATGTGAAAAGTTAGGTTTTCCCATTTGCACAGCCCGCACCTTTCTTGCTGAGTGCCTTGCCAATCATCCCATTCTCTTTTGAACGGGTCCAAGATGGTCCAAGGATACAACAAACCGGAGTGAGCCAGCATTTTGTGGGTCCATTCTGTTTTAGATGTTGCTCGAAGATAGGACACTATATATAAACAGGCAGTTCATACCCTCAAACGCCAGCCCTCGCGTTCCCAAGCTACGTGGGCCGCCTCCAAGTATCTCTGAAGTGTTCGCAGAACGGTTTGCCTAGGTGAAACACGCCTGGCCAGCTTACATGATCTTCCTATTAGATCCTCCTGTAACTGTACACCATAGATCATTGGGTTCATGGCAAAGTCTGATATATCACTTTGCCAGCGCAAACTTCTGAACACATGGTCCAGACCGTGGGCCTTGCTCACGATTGGGAATAGCGGAACTTTAGCTTCATAAGCCTTCTCCGCCAGCATCATGAACCCCAGAAGGTACCCCATTCCTTTGTTTGCTATCACTCTTGCTTGGTCTTTTGGAATCCACACTCCCTGACGATACATAGAAGAATATGCATCATCGATGAGCGGGACGAGACCAGCCTCAGTTTAGCAGAGCTATATATATATATATGTGTGTGACAGAAACTGCAGAACAATGTTTGCCATAACTATCAGTTGACAAAATGGACAAATGTACATATATAAATGACAAAGAACAAAATCTGCCAAGAGCGAACCTTCTACAATGTCTTCTCTACGTCTCCACGTGAAGTTCCTAAGCCATTTGAGGAGGGACGTAGTCAGGTTCCCCTTTGTCCATGTCCCTCGTGGAAAATCACCCTCCTCCAAGTGGAAGAAGTCTTTTCTGAATTGTATCAAATACTTCTGTCTACGACTGCGCTGACACCACTGGCTGTAGTCTTCAAATAAACATTGAAGCTTGGAGTCCACATTCGTGCCTTCAGCCAATGGCAAAATAAGTTGCATCCCACAACTTACCAGGTTTCTGCCTTCGCCTAAATGGAACAAGTGCCAGGGGTCGAAGAAGAAGTATCCTTCTGGCAGCAAAGGATCATGCGGGCAAACCAGAACCCCAGGCATACGGTCCCAAGGTTTGACATCACCAAGGGTTGTGTTGTGACAAGCCCCATCGCTACAATCCTCAAAAGGCAGGTCATGAGAAGAGCCTGCCATGCATAGATGGCAGATTCCGTTTGGTGCCTTGGACTTTCTCTGCTGGGTCTGACTCAATGGTTTCTTGGGCAAATTGTAGAAGGACCTTTGTAGTCGCCCAGCCTTCACCAAAAACGGAGCATCACCCTTGAGGCCAATGCAAGCAAACCAGTAATGTTCCCCCAAATGGGTGAGCCCTTCCTCAACACCATGCGTAGCGTCTGCTGCCAAAAAGTTCAAGACGCTGTGAAAGTTTTCAGGATCTTTGAAATATGCCTCCTTTGGCATCACGGCATGAACAAAGTGAGTAGCAAACGTGTGTCCTTTGTAATTCATCTCCTGGCGTTTGAACTTAAGCATGGGCTTTAAGACCTTTTTGCGCGTCTTGGCAATCTCAACTCCCATTCCCAATGGGCTGTGCGTGCTTAGGCACATGACGGCATTTCTTTTACGACCTTCCAACATGGTTTGCGTTCAACATGTTTTGCAGGGGCTAAACTCAATCCTTTGAACAACGTTTCTTTGACAACCCTGCTTACCTCGACCTTCATCACCATGCCAAAAGAGAGCGCAAGTGCGCCGCAGATTCAACTCTCCACTGCGCGCACGGCGGAAAATATCATGAGAACCATGGAGTACCTCAAACCTGCTCCAGAAGGTGGCCCATGCCTCTTCTGAAGCAGCCATGGTAGCTTCCCCTGCAAGTCGTGGCCAGTTTCCCATTCGCCTCAAGCACGGAGTGGGTTGCAAACATAAAATATCCAATTGGGAATGAAAGTCACTAACTCAAGAAAAATACATTTGAAAGTATACAGGATAAACGAAACCTAGACTCAATACTAGTCGAATCCAATGCGTAAGCTTCAGTACAGGGAATTTGCGACCATCATGAAGTGTAATCTCTGTGAACGGAACTTCCAAAGCTAAGCCGAGCTTGGAGGCTAGCTTGTGCACTTCCACCTGACACTTGCAAGCTTCATTCCAAACAAATTGAAGTGCCCATTTCTAATACAACATGCTTCAGAGCCCCACCTCTGAATGGGCTTCTTTTGCCCCAGCCAAAGCCCGCAAACTGGAGGAGGCGCCTGGACCCACCTCTTCCACAACTGCGCGAGCTGTGTTGATAGACGATGTGCAAGGAGCCTGGCAGAAATATACACTTGTACGTGGTAGACCAAACAGGGTTGACATTGCTGAGGTGCTGACCCCCTCAGCAACGTTTTGGACAAGCCGTCTAACAATGCCATCCGGACCTGGCACACCCATTAGCAAGAAATGGCTTCAAGCGCTTGAGCGTGCAAGTGCAATTGGCCACTTCAGCAAGCACCCACAATGTTTTCCACAAAGACGCACGTGCTTCGCACATGATGCTTGCTTCGCTTGACCCCAAATGAGATTTGAATAAATCTCCCCAATTAAATGTGCAAGACTTCTCTCAAAATAGTCGAAGAAAATCAGGATTACTTTGCCCTCCGTAAGCGCTTTCGCGCTGGCTCGGTATCCCCTTCCTGCTCGCAATTGCCCTTAGCCTTTGGCTTCGGGTCAGCTTTGCCTTTTGCTGCCCTGGATTTAGCAGCTTGGTCTGGCTCGTTCTTGTGATAGGACTTCTTCGCGTTCCTGCCAAACATCAAGTCATCCAAAACCAACTAGACTCTGAGAGACTTTCAAGCTTTTCCATCAAATAAACAACTTGCCTGACTGTTGTCTCCAGAGCCAAAGCTGAAGAGCACCTAAGCACAGTCTGCTATAAATGTATAGTGTCGTAGTGTAAGAAACATAACTCCAAGGCACACAAAAGTTGTTGCTTCCATTTGGGATTCAATCTCCTCTTCAAGCCTGGGTTTGCTTGAACCGCGCATATATCATCATCACTGTTTTAAAAATACACGTATGATATTAAATATGAGCAGGTAGCGTCTTGTTGGAACCCTTCAGGTCAAGCTTTGTTTTCAGGAGTACAAGCTTGTCATACTCTGTCGAGAGTAGCTCGCACTTCTGGGACAACTCGGTCATGGACCTTAAATGGACAGCGCACAAAAAACATAAAATATCCATATACACAACCAACAAACATACTGCTGGGAGACTTCTGTGCGGAAGAATCATTTGAGTGGTTCTTCCGAAGGTCTGCCACCAACGAATGAAGCTTGGATGTCCGGGACAGGAGGGAATTCATGAAAGCATCAAGACCCGCGCTTGCCTCATTTGCAAAAGATAAAACCTGTTGTGGAAACAAACACGTGTGCGCAGATCTGTAGTAACAAAAAACACGTAGGTACCATGTGCCTTCATCTCCTTGGTGTCTTTTCCATTGGGTTCATTCTGGTGTTCACCATCCTTCAAGAACTCTGGTGCATCTAAGTTGGTATCCTTGTCCACCTGCACAAGTGTGTTTTTTGACCCCCTGACACAACAGAATGTTACTCCATTGGACAAAACATCAAAGCAGAAAAGACATCTATGAATGAACCTCTTTCTCTTGCTCGGTTCTCTCGATTTGGTCTTCATTCTCCGCATAATTACCTGTCTCAGAAATGTCAATGTAAAACTCCTCCTCGTCCGGGTTGTATTTGTTTTTCCTTCCAGAAGCAATTCTTCCACAAACAGCTACCTAAGGCTGCAATTGAGAAAAGGTCCTCACCAACCCATGCTTGCGGCAATATTCCACAGCACCCTTAATCTTTTTCCTTGGATTTGGCAAGACTGGGCCAACACAGTCCACTGTACTTAAATGTTGTACGTATACCACATGTTACTTATAGCTGAAAGGCGGTTTCCACTTGAGTGTTTCTGCCATTTCCGCTTCTGAATACCATCCTTTCTGAACAAGCCGACCCCTGGACACTTTCTTTTCGTGGATCACCTTCTGTTTGGCCAAGAATTTCTCCTTCACATGCATGTGTTAATCAAAAATGACAGCAAAACATCACTCTCACACCCATCCTTGTCCATACCAGCAGCCACGAACCCGTCTGTCACCTCTTGCCTGGTTTTTGGGTCACACCATTTCAAATGCAACCATTCCGGTACCTGTAACCGTCCATTCTTTTTCCTTTCGCAGAGGCGTCTCACTCTGGCTTCAATGCCCTGCAAAGATAGATCCTGTGGGCAGGATCAATGAACGTTTCTAATATACAGTATATATATATATATTGCTGATATATTGGCGTTTGCTGCAAATATCTGCAAAGTGACACATACATGCACATCTCCTTAGCATCTTTCTTCTCAAACCTATTGGGAGGAGAAGGGGTCTCAGGGACAGATTTCCCATCAGAGCCTGATGATGTCTTGGGTGAGGGTACCTGTGGGGTTTGGGCGGCACGGCATGGTGTTGCCACTGGGTGCGAGTGGATTGGCTGCGCGGGCACTTTCTCAGAAGCTTGCTTGCCTTGTAATGATGCTATCTGTTGTTGGGCTAGGATCAGCTGCTGCTTTAGCTGGGCATTCTCCTTGTCAAACACGCTTGGAAACCAATTGAAATTGCAGTCGTCAAAGATGATGTGTATACCAACAAGAACAAAAGGAACTGACTGGGGACGTTTACCTTGCCTCCGTCAATGCCTCTGTCAAAAAGACAGAAAGCTGGTCATCATCAATCCCATCAGGTTCTTCAGTCATATCTTGAGATAAACCGATATTGGGATAGTCCTGCCATCAAGAGCGCATAATCGAGCTACAACCTCAACAGGAAATTATGGTGTCAAAAACGTATTTCCAAATCAAATCCCATGATGAGAACTTCACAGTATATAATACCTCAGACCTGGTCAAACTCAGGGTGATCAGGCAGCTCAGGAGCATCTGGTTCATTTTGATCCACACCCTAGACGTGACTCTCAAAAGCCACACAAAACAACACACAACAAGCTGCGTGCGAATGCGCAAACAATATCTCAAGTTGAGGGTCCCCAACCGCAGCAGCACGTTCACCAAGTTTGGCTTGCAAGTCCTGCGGAATGCTTTTGGCTGGTGTAGCCACTTGGATGACCAAGCCATTATGCATGTACTGTACTATGTACTGCATGTATATTATGTACGGTCCCAGGTCCTGTATTTGTTTTTGTAATTGGGCTTCACGTTGATCAATCATATCCATCTCGTCTTTTGCTTCGCGTTTGATATGCAAGACACCAGCTTCAAAGGAATTGGTTCTCCACTGGTTTGAGTGCAAGCTACTTAGCTTACCAATCGCGTCAGGATCAGCAGCAGCCTTCATCACAGACAATGACTCTCGAGCCTCCAAGACTAACAGCATAACAGCATGCACGGACAGGCGGTCCTCTCTGTTTATGATCCATGCATGCATGTTTCGTTCTCCAGTATTCTGCGAAGTTTTGGAGGCAAGCGCGCATGAGGAGACCTTTGCGGTAACGGGTGGTTTGTAGAAGTCATCCGAGCGCAACACCTGTCCCATGAACAGCTTTCCACTGCTCAACTGAAACGGGCAAACGAGTCAGGTGGAGTTGGAAAGCTCAACTCCTGCCAAAATGAATTACATCTGTATCGCATGGTGCCCATAGCCCTTGCAGCACACATGATGACCTAAAGATTTTTCCTCGATGTCCTAAAAAAGTTAGGTGAACCAAGACAGTGACCAACACACCAATACCAAGGAGGACATTCAGCTTAGCAGGGCCTTATTTAGGTCCAACATGGTCCAACGATCACCACAAAATGTCTTCAAGCACTGAATGATCCTGAATGTCGCCAAACAGCCGTGGCTACGGAGGGAACCCACAAAATCATTTCGTGAGATTACGGGGAAAATACGGGTTCCCTACGGGGAAATTATGGGTTGTAACTTTACGGGTTGTACTTTACGGGATATGGCATCTGTTCTTATGGGCAGTGCCCATAAAGTCATGGGCACTATATCTAAAGTACTTGATGATACTTAAAAACATCCAAAATGGTCTGTGACACCCAATTTTACTCTGCAAATTTGAACTGCAGCTGCCAGGCCCCATGTCAGATATATGAATTGACGTGGATCTCCCTGGACCCAGTGCCCAAAGCATCTAAATGGTGCGTGGCACCATCACTTTGAACTCAGGCGGAATGTCCAAGTCTTTCGAGCCAAACATATATTTGCATACCCGCCCAACTTCAGCCTCTGGCCAAATCTTTCCCCAGTCCAACCCCTGGAATGATCGAAAAAGATCCTCCATGGAAACAGGTCCACTCACAACTGCTGGCTGACCACTCTTGTTTTCTACCAAGGACTCAAAAATCTCGACTATGCGGAATCCAAAACGTACAGGATAGTGCCTCGGAGCCAACGTCAGTAGAATTGAAACAGTAACAATTGAACAGGACATATATATATATATATTCCCCAACATTCTCAAATTCTCCACAAAAACATCGCGAGCAGTCCAGTGGCTCAGTCTTCTTGAGTTGTTTCGTTCCTTGAAAGCGGACTTTGCCACTTTTGTCCACATAGCGCCTCACACACGAAGCTGAATGAACTCCCCCTATAGTGCAACGGTATACAGTGTACAGAAAATATTCATATAGAAGCCTGCAGGTCTTTTTGGAGGAGTCGTTGTGTCGCCATCCTGGACGTAGTTTTCCTGCCTCTAACCCCATGACCTCCTTGCTGTTGCTATATGCCACATGTCTTTTGGGTGTGCCCCCTCCGTAGTTCCACATGTACCAAGACGTCCGCCAAACCTCAATTCCACAAATTGACTCCAAAGTCAAACCAAGGGGCCTCAAAGGGGCATGCCACAAGTGAAGAATCTATAAGGCAAGCAACCCTAATGACTTTCATCAAATGCCGGAATCGAGGAGTCCACTCAAGCATAGACTGAAAGGGCTGTTCCAAAACAAATGTCCCTCCACATACAGCTACGAGGAGGCACAAGAGCATTGACCTGGCCAAATCAAGGAATTATAATATATATATATACAGTGGGTTAAAGGAAGAAAGCTTCTACACAGAACCTTGCCTTGCAGCAAGACAATTTGCCTCCCTGACTGAAGGCTTAGCAGTGTCACCGCCAGCAGCACATTCACACCTTCTTGACGTCCCACGGTTTACTATGCAGAAGCTGGAGCACTTAAGCCCCAGCAAGATAACGCTCTTGTTCTTCACCGTCTTCAAAATACAGGCTATTGCCACCCTTAGCAAGTTTTGAATGAACATATATAACTTTATATAATATGATAGGATTGTTTGTCCAAAAACACTTGCTGCATCAAGGCCCCGGCAGAAATCCTGAATCTGTCAAGAGATCCATATAGTTGGTTGATGAGCCATGGTAGTACAACAAATCCAGTTTGGCTCCCATTTGCCCAGAGCCTCGAGCAGCCGCTGTGGCTGCTCCTCGACCGGCAAAGAACTCAACCCAGGTATAGACCTGCAGGCAGCACCAAACCAAAGCCACTGCTGAATTAACTGCTTGGAGTCCGCACGCGCATATATATATATATGGACAAATCAATGTTGTGGCAAATCAGTAAGTACTCAGCCTCTTCAATTCTGCCGCTTGATGACCAGGCCGTTAAGCAAACCGCGAGAATAAAATCCTAAGGCGGAAGACTAGTGCTTTGATATACTGGAAAGCTTCACTCATGCAGTCCATCTTTAAAGCCAACTTGGAACATCTCAGGCTTTGTCACTCGGTGCATCCAAAGCTATCAAACCAGCCACGATGTGCGGAAGGAAAAGCATCGTGATGTGGCTAACTTGATACCCAACAGGGCTTGAGAAACACTGCTCTTGACAGAAGACATGTTTGATGCGTGCAACTCCAACAAAACAGGAACACATCGCAACTCAACGTTATAAGCTTGCCAGGATGACGGTCACCATCCTTCAACAGGCCCCTCTTAGAGGCCCAAGTGTTCCTCTTCAGCTTGTGCATCCCATGAGACCTCATGTAAAGGATAACCAAGACCCAAGATATTCTGAACTACTGTTTGGCGTGCAAAGTGCAACAAAGTCATTGAAATATATTAAAGGTGACTCACCTTTTCTCTCCTTACCCCATCCTCTAAGGTCAGCTGCAGGTAGGCCAGAGTGGTACCCTGCTGAACCGTCAGCTTTCACTCGGCACCCCAACAGCCTCCCCTGTGGGAGAACAAATGGCAACATTGATGTTCCTACCTTCTGGATCTTCGACCGCATCTGGCCAACAAACATATATATATATATATAGACTGAACATTTTCAAGCTGGTGTTTCTCTATAAGTTTAAAAGGTATTGATTGCATCAATGAAATGGGGTCCATCAGCCAGCTAAGCAGGTCGGTCCCGAAGAGCCAACGTCGAACAAGTCAAAAGGTCAAGCCTGTAGAGCTTGCTTCAAACCTACTGATCATCCTGCACACCGAAAATCTCAGGGTGCTTGCACTTGAAGGAAGCAATTGCCATGTGCCCTGCCCGAATGAGAATTTGCTCCTTCTCCGCAACCTGAGGATTGGAAGGGAAACGGTCCTTGGGAGGCAGCACGTCGTACCAGGAGGCCTAAGAGGCAGTGTGACATACTGAAGAGTGAAAAGAAATGCTATGAACTTCAAACCCAAGCTCCCAACAAACTTCTCTGCCAAGAGCTTTGCCAGACCAATGTTGAAGGCATCAGAACGGCTGAATGAGAAGTAGGCAAACTCCTCCTCCTTGCCTTTGGTCACAGATCTGTTTTTGATCCCAACCGTTGGTCGTGCTCGGCTCCAGTACGAGTTGAGCCGGCAGTGTGTGTACACGGGAGAATTCGGGAAATCCTCACTCTTCAGGACAGGCTTCTTGGATCTCCATTGCTTCTCAAGTTCCTCGCGACACTCCTGCACAATGGCATCATCTGCTGCAAGTTGCTGATCAACAGGTGCAACCTTAGGCTTTCGTCCTTTCCTCTTTGGCTCTCCCTTTGCCTTGGCCTTTGGCTTCGGTGAGGCCTTCGGCTTGGGCAAGGCCTTTGCCTTCCCTTTTGCCTTGGCTTTTGGTGCACGTTTGGCCCGTTTGGGCTTCTCCGTCTCCACTGGCTTCACTGGCTCATGAGGCTTTGGCGAGGAAGATGAACACCCAGGAGCCTGAGCCGGCTCTTCTTCTTGGCTAGTGCAACGAGTCCTTTTCCTTCCCTTCCCACTTCTGGCTGCCTCCGCAGCACTTGAGTTGGCTTCTTCCTTTGCCTGACTTGCTTCCCTTGCCCTGCCCTTCTTCATCTTTTGCTCTGCATCACCGGGATTGCCATCAGTCTCAACCTCCTTTGCATTCCTTTTCCTTGAGGCTCTCTTCTTCGAAGATGCCTTTGCTTTGGCTCTGGCTTTGCCAGCAGAAGTCCGACGGGTAGACCTTCCTCTCTCAGTTTTCTTCTTCGCATCGTTTGAGCCCTCCTCAGCGTCATCTGCGCGCTTGCCCTCGATTTTCTCATCCTTCTTGTTCTTCTTTCTGAGCTTCAGCTGCTCCGTGCGCAGTATGCACGGTAACTTCACATCATGAGCCTGATAGGCCTGCACTCTGGCAGCAAGACCTGGTGGATTTGTCATCTGGCCTTTGGCTGGCATTTCCGGGTTTTCTTCCGGGAACAGCTGCCTCCGTGCAGGACTGGGGTCCTGTGGCGGTTCGTCCTTAGGAACTTCATCAGGCTTGAATGCGGGAACTTCCTCCTCTTCAGGTGGAACATCATGAGGCTTTTTTGCTTGAACTTCCTCCTCTTCAGGTTGAGCCTCTTCCAAACCATCCTTTGGATCATCCCCTGGAGCGGGATCGTAAAAGAGGGTGCGATTGTCCTCCTCCACCTCCGTGCCATTCGCTCTGAGATGCTCACAACGTGCAAGAACTCTTTGAAGGTCCCGCTCTTCTTTCTCCTGTACCCTCCAGTAGCTTTCAAAGGAGGAGCACTCAGCACAGGGGCTACCCTCCCTGCATCCACAGTCCTTGACCTCCTCTGGCCCTTCCTTCCAAACCGGAGTCATTTGACTCTTCCCTTCTGGAGGCTCTTCCAAGCCACCACCTTTGCCACCACATGGGTATTCTTGCTGATTGGTTTCAGCACGTCCACCTTCCAGAAGTGAAGGGCCGGCATTGCTCATGGCCTCCGGCATGGGGAGGGTCTCTGCAGCGTCATGACCATAAGGTGGAGCATTCTCACCTGGCAAATAACTTTGAACTTGTATACACTGCATATATACACTCATCACCCAAACAAGTTATAGAAACCCTGCCTGAGGGATGATCAGAGAGTTGGTTCTTCTTTTGGCTTTTGATCCTGAGGGCCAGTAAAATACGGAGGTTGAAGGAGCATCAGGGTTCCAATGAGGTTAGGACAGATCCAGCTGAGCCATTGCTTCCCGGAGCTGAGAGAGCATGGCATCCTTCGGGTTCCATAAAGATTGATCAACATTTTGTCAATTGGATTCGTGAAAAAAAAAGAAGACAATCTGCCTCCTGAGATGGAAGGGCTTCCTGCCCACCTGCCAGTTCACACTATATAGTCACTATAGGATTGTCGATGCACAAAATGTGTGCATGTCCACAATTAGACTTTGGCCTTGCGGTTCGTCATCCGATAAGATGTCAATGGTTTCCTCAACGGCCTCAACAACTTGTGATTGTGAAGCCACGCTTGCACCAAATTATATACCGTATATATCAGAACAATCGGGCCAAGGTCCCAGCACCTGTAGTATGAGCCTTCTCCACCAAATTCTGAGACGTGTCACCTGAGGTGCTGGAAACAGGGACTGAACCCTCAACGGCTGACTCTGGCAAGTCCTCCGCTGGAGCAACTGGAGCCTCCTCGTTTCCCTCGACCTCACAAGACTCTTCCTGAACTTGTGGTTCTTCCTCCTCACTTTCCTCCACGTCTTCACTGGTGGGACCCTCCACGTCCTGGCACCCAAGAACTTGTGAAGAAAACTATATAGATGTCTCAAATCAAACAAGCCTCTTCTTGAGTGGAGATCGGGTTGGCTGTGATCACAGCCTAAGAGACACTTGGGTTGAGGCAAACATAGCATATATAGGGAAAAGATGCCCACCTGCAGGCTACCATCCAAATCCAAAATGAGGAGCAAGTCCCTGAAGTCCTGAACCTGTCAACTCACCAGCAATTTATATTCTATAATATATATATATATATCCTTCAAAAGGGCCGGACATACACAAATTGAAGTGCATAGCGTAGATCCAGGCCTTAGAGACTTCCTTTCGCCTGTACTTCCTCTTGAGTAGGCCACATCCATGACGGATTCCCCAAGCCTCCCTGTAGATTTGGTCCTGCCCTATGACCATGTTCAAAAGATTGTACAACTGCTTCAGCGCATCTTTCAACGGCTCAATATCAGGCATGGGAAATGAATCCCCTTGACTAGCCATCCACTTAAGCACTGGAGCGAACACACCCTTGTGAGCTGCGCACGTGGCCACCGTGGCGTGAAACACAGGGCTGCCTCCACAATCTAGCACCTGTCCACAAGACCTCACTTGGGACCTGAACTCATCATTAGCTTCCCACTCAGGAGCCAAACACGAAAGGTCTCTCCGGTCTCTGCGTCCCATGGCCAAACAAGAACACGGTCAAAGAGAACAAAAGAGGATAAGTCCCCAAAACAGAACCAAAGTGGCTCGCGGGTCACACAAAATGGCCACAAACACCCAAACATGAAACCGCACACTCAAACTGCGCAACGTTCAGCTGAGTACCTGACTGATGGACAGCATTGGATGCCAAATGGATCCAGTATGATATCAAATGGCTTCAAGATATCATGAAGGATATGAAGGGCAGCATGGGGCACGTTCTGAACATCCAATGCATGTGATTAACAACTTTGTGCCAACATTCTGAAAAGTCAGGTTTTTCATTAAACTTCTTCTGAAAGCCTGGCTTTCATATTGCAACCCAAGAAAAAGCAGGTTGGATGGTTAGGGGGTATGTTTGCATGGCGCATTTTTATGCCTTTGCTTGGGTGCCAGTGATGTGCGTGCATTGTAAGCACATCACTGGCACATCATTCAGCAGTTCACGTGGTGTGCCTTCACTGTGCATCAGCCCAGCCAGGTCCACGTTTATGTGGCCCCTTTGTTCACTGGTACTGCTTTGGGCCTCTCTTGACATTAGGAAAAGGTGAGCAAACTCTGTTTGTGCGACAGCTCCAGTTGAGTGCAGAATCGTGTAAAAAGAAAGGCAACCAAAAAAATATCCAAAAAAGATACCCCAGTGTGAACATGCGGAGGATTTAACGGTCGCCCGTGGCCCCTTATTGCTGTTTTGGCCGTTCATTTGGCTCGTCCGCTTGCGCATCACAGGCGCACCACGACGGATCTGGATGTGGTTTTGGAACGGCAAATGGAGGCAAGCTTCCATGGAGATCGCCTTCCACAACCAACAACTGTTACAGTTATCTTCCATGAGTGGACTTCAGCTGACTCTTTTGAATGGTCATTGAAATCAAGCAAAGCCATTCGTACCTGCGCTGTTTACACTCATTACTCAAGAAGAATCGATCACAGCAACGGCACCCAGCAACTCAGTGAGGTTGGCGTTGAAGGGGAAAAGATGGATCATGGAGTTACACAACAACTGAAACCACCCAATGAGATGTACAGTAATTCGACTTCCTGTGGGTATGTCTGCAGATATGGCAACCAAAACCTGTGGACCGAACTGTTCCTCAGAGGTTGGATCGTTCGACTCATCTTTTTCATGTTCTCTTTTGCCTTTCACGTCCGCTGAGTGCTCTTCTGCTCTTCTTCACTTGCGCCAGGAGCACTGCTACACGAAGGAGCTCCTCCTCTTCTTCGCCGGCGCCCCCGCCTGCAGCGTGCAGCCCGAAGACACGCCAGAGGCGGTTGGCTTTGTGTGGCCGCAGCCGGGCTTCTTTCGTGCCATGGTGGAGAGGGGATGCTGAGGGGAAATGATGTGGGTGGGGTGGGGAAGTTGGAGATTGGACCACTTTGTCGGGGGCAGAATTCGTCAGAATGTATATTCTTCATCATAGCAGTGGCATTCCAGAGTTCATGGTCAAACCCAGCCCAGGAGTCTATGTTCAGGTTCAATGCCTTCAACTGCCTTCAACCCCAAAAGAACTATAGAATTTTCCACATCAACCCCACTTGTTCCGCCAGGAAATCCTTTTCCCGGTGTTGTTCTGTTGCCTGGGCCGAAGATGCACCCCGATCGGATCCACGGCTCCACACCGAGGCATGGAAGCCTTTGAGGCCGAGAAAGCGCCGAAGCCGGAGAAGGCCACACCGTTCTGGGTCCGGTGGGCCGCTCGAGGGGCCGCTCAGGGAGACCCACCTGGAGAGATGCAACTGGACTAGGATGACAAGAAGTAGAAGAAAGGTTTCCATCCACCTTACTAAGAATCCACATACCATAGTGAAGATATGGTAATATTCATGCTGGGTGCTGGAGGCGATCCTCCTTCAACCCGCTTCAACCCTGGCATTTGGACAGCAGATAGCATTTCTTCAGACTCTGATGTGGTCCTGGATCACTTGGAGCAGCCCGCTCCACACTTGCCGATCGCAGGAACGCAAGCCTAAGCCCACGACTGCCGAACCAAAGGCCAAGACCGAACCGAAGGCCAAAGCAGAGCCGAAAGCCAAGGCGAAACAGACGGGGGGCGGATGGCTTGGATGGGACTTTAGCAACAAATGTAACAAAATGTATGCAAGTTGTACAAGTAATTCATAGTAATTCATTTAATTCATCTTTAGGAACCTTTTAAGTGCCTGTATAGGATGTAGAGCCTGCAGAGAAGTCTTCGGTCAATCCCAAGTTTCTCACACCGGGGCCCTGTGTCTCCTGGGCTGAGCACCATGTCAGAGGAGATGTTCACGACCTCCAAATCTGCCAGTTTTCCATTTGGCACGGGCTCATGGCTAATTACTCTTGAGAATGTCAGATGACCATCTCCAATGTTGGGCCATGTGGGATCGAAGTTGAAAGCGGTCTGGATCCGACATAGAGCCGCAGCCATGTCTCTCTTGTTCAGCACATGCGTTCAAATCTTTGAAGGAAACTCGCGGCTGGTGGCCCGCAAGCGTGTCCTCACTTGGCGAGCTACAGCGCTGTTGGTGTATTTTTCTTTCGTTTTCCCATTCTCTTGTGATGTGTATTACGTGCCAATGATGAAGTTTCAGACGCTGAAGTGCATGGGGCGGCCAGCAGCAAATCGCTGCAGATTGGGCAGAAATGCCACAGTGAATAAGCAGCAGCTCGTAACAGATGTGGAAAGCCTAGCGATAGAAACGAGGCGTTTGGAGTGCTTGCTGAGGCGTTGCTCCCAAGTGTGCTTCCAGTTGGTGCCAGTTGGTGAGATTATGGCAGTGGTGAAACGAAGCCCTGAGAAGTTGTTCCCCAGCTGCACATTGTCATTAGTCGGTTCGTGCGACCGGCAGGTTCACAACAAGTACTTCGCAGATATTGATATCCAGGTACAAAATTTGACGTGTGGAGTATGATGAGAGGGAGAGTTTCAGGACTTTTGCAACTTTCTCGAGCACGACACGGATGTTGACAACATAGAACTCGAAAAGGGATGCAAGGCAATTCGCCTGGTGGTTACCTGGTGGTTGGGGGCATTCCGGTGGACGTAGCATTCACTGAGCAGTTTGATAAGGATCTCGCAATGCATGGGCCAGCGCAAACTTCTCGATTGAAGGAACTCTATGAAGAATATCCTGGAGCTGTAAAGGCAGCGCGAGTTGCCAAATGATATTCCGAGACTTGAGGGGAATGGATGTGGAATATCTTGTGAATGAGGTTGCACGAGACAGCAGCAAGCTGTGGGGGGGAAACCGCAACCGTGATAGTAATGGTTGTCAGCTTTTTCAAGAAGTGGTACTTGAGCTGCACCAGTTCCCACGAGTTTCATGCTATTCTCCGTTGAAGAGGCAAGGAAACACTTCGTGACCTCGAGTTGTCCTTAAAGAAAAGCCAAGTTCTTGCCAAACTTATTTTGCAGATTGGACAAAGCACTGGGGTGCTCAGCAATCAAGCGGACGACCCACAGACCTTGTGTGAAAACACTATCTGGGATGAATATGAATGTCTTGCGCAAGAGGGACCCCAGACAAATGCGAACAAGCAGGCCTTGCGGCTAGAAAAAGATGTCCATCTCTCAAGAAGGCATAGACTTGAGGTTCTCGAGCAAGTTATTGGCCGACGATGCAAAAGGCAAGGCAAAGGATTTTCCTCAGATGCCGACAGACAAGGGTGTTATTCAACCCAGAAAGCGGAGAAAGAAGCGACAAGGGGAAGGAGACTCGCACACCCGATCAAGTACATTGGCAGAGACGTTGATCCTCATTCTTGATGACATGTTCTTCTGTATGGAGAGCTCGAATGAAGCAACACCCATTGAGCGTAAATTCATGAAGGGAATGTGCATTGGTGTGGATGCTTTCTTGGAGATGGAAACGAAGAAACAGAGGCACGAACGATGGAAGAGCAGGACAATGCCGGAAGGCATGCACCAAGTGGCACCAAGAATGAAAGAGCTCGGTATTGAGTCATGTGACATGATGTGCAGCCTAGTCAAGGATTCAGATTGGCCCGCAGAGTGGACACTGCCCTTGTTGGCTTTCCTTTGGTTCTGGAGGAGCAAAGCCAGTTCTTGATTTTGATGAGATGACAGCGGCTGTACCGTAGCAGCAATGCCAAACCTATGAAGTTGGAGAAAAGTCCTAAAGTGGCCGGGTCCTCAATATGTTTGACTTGGGTCGCCAAGAGCGAAGTTCAACAGATACCTTGGTGATCAACTCTGTGGAAAGTAGACAATTGCCAGTTGCAGTTCGACAAACATGTTTGTGCAACCAGATGAAATCAGGTGAGCATGATGCAACCATGCCACGTGATTGTTGAGGTATCGGTATACATCAATGGAAAAGTAACACGATGTTAAACCCTCCTGTGTTGCCAATGGCTCAAATTCGATGACTTCACACGAACCATGACCTTCGTCCGGTCTGGGGAATCTCTACCACCAGATCAGACCTGGAATCATTTTTGGATTGGGAGTTTGAACGAATAACCTTCCGTTGGTCGATGCACAGCGCTTGTGGCCAGGCTGCAAGCGGAAAAACAGGCGCGGTAGAGACCCGGAGTATGGCGATGCAGAGATTCTGAGGAGGTAGCGACGAGGTGACATAAGTTGTATAGTCTCAACAGCACAGGACAATGACAAATGACTGAGTGTTTTTTGCAACCACAGGAACATCCAGTATTCACAGGCCTGAGATATTCCAAAACCACGACTTATTGGGCAGGACACGCGTGGGCGCTCGGGGCAGGTGCTGGCACCTCTGGAGGGCCACACGGCAAGGCACGCTGGCTGAGCCGGGATATGAACATGTCTCCACAGCTGTGAAGAGCAGCTGGGTCAAGACCATGTAGAGACTGTTTAGACTGTGCAGATGCTGTGGAAACATGTGGAAACTAGTTACTGCAGAATTTTTGGTGCCGTGAAATCATTCATGACAACAACTTGTGTTCCACGACCAAGCCGGTCAGGGTGGCAAGGGTGGCTATCCGCCATGGGGCTGGGATGGATATGGCAAGGGCAAAGGCTTCTTGGCTGCAAGGAAGACGAACTGGATTCACGCACAGGTTTTGGAAGAGTAGTTGGATTCAGGAACAAGTGCGGATGACTTGTACGACCCTGCTCTCCCAAGCAATTGCACGATCGGTTGGAGGGTGCAACCATCCTTCACCGGCTTGAACTATCCTTTGCGAACGATTGAATTCCGAGATGAGAGACGTTGAGGTGGTTGGGCCGAATGGCAGCCATGGCCAAAGGGATGGCGTCTTGGAGACTTTTCATCAGAAGCTTTTGATTCCTTTCGGAGTGGTCTGTATTTTGGGTGCTTCTGCAAAGGGCGACGGGGTCCGTTTGCTGCTTGTCAACGGTTGGAGCTGAATGGGGCTGCGGCTAGGTCCGGCTAGGTGGCCATAGCTTTTTGAACTTGCTTGGAAATAGTCGGTCTGGGGGGTATGTTTTTGTTCCTTTTGTATGTTCGAGTCTTCAAGCTCTTCCCCACACGGCTAAAGCTAGAGCTGGAGCTAGAGATAACCACAGCACAATAAAACATCATATACCGTTGAGGGACAACAATCCCAGCCAAAGCCACTCATTCGGGATATCGTTTCTACGATCTCGTCATAACGACAGGACTAGGTCAGGGGCTTGCTGTTGTTCCAAAGTGATGTCATCGGATTTCCAAGCGGCACATCAAACTCGTATCTCATCAGAATCTCATCACATCTTCACTTCCCTTCACCTATTGACCTCCCAGCACCACTTCCAACTGCCTCCCCTTTCTGGCCCGCACTCCCCGTGGAAAGCGTTGCACAGGTCCAAGGGGTGGGGATGGTGAGACGTCTCGGTGCATCGCAGAGCGAAGACGACTCGGTGAGACGACACGACCCAAACCCCGGGGCCGGAAGGTCCGCCCTGCGCCGCCCTGCAGATGAAACAGATTCAGGATAGTTATGATGGTGATGTGGGAGAAAAGGGAACCATTTGAATTCCATTCCCCGGGTTTTCTTTAAGACGTGAGCAACCATGTGCTGATGTTTCACAGGGGCTATGGGGGTGGAAGGTGAAAGTAGGAGGCGCAGGGCAAGTCTTTTAAGCAATCCAAGAGTTCTGACGATCCAGCGCAGGGCATTGATCATCTCCAGGTGCTCAGCAGATCATTTTCATTTGTGACCCTTGACAGAACATCAAGACTGGGCCATGGTGTTTCTGAGAAGATGAGAAGATGCAGTACTAGGTGGTTGCCAGCTGCTTTGTGAGGCGAAAGGATCAAGGATCAGATCAAGGAAACGCTTTTAACATTTCACAGAGGTAGGATCTTCCCGGAGTTTTAGGAAGATTAAAAAGATTCTCAGAATGATTTCCTCCAGATCTTCTCGAGTCTGTTGCCTGAGGTCACTCCTCCAGTGGCTGGGACAACCATGGAAACCACGGTATTTTACGGGTGTTTCGAGCAGCTGATCCGACTAGGTAGTTTAGTATGATTAAGTCACAGAGGCTTTTGCTATGTCTTCGGTAGGCAAGCCATTCACTCAAACCATCCTGAGCACTGCTTGATCGCTTGGAAGCCATGATGTTTACAGCAGAGAACCCCCAAAAGTTAGAAAGCTTGGCAAATCCACTATTGAACTATATTGACATGTTCATTAGTCTGCATCTGTACTGTTTTGGATTCCTCTCGGGATCTGCCGATGATCATTCGCCCTCTGCCACGCTACCACGTGTGCGCGAGAAATCACGCACACGATCCGCACGAGGGGTGTTACTGCTGGGCAGCGTCACCGCCTATCGGGCATGGACCGATAGGTGGTGAAGTTCTCTGTGAGGGCCATGTCTAGCTGACTGAATGAGCATGGGTTCCAGGTGGTGTACTTGTTTTTTGCCTGGTGTTGCCTTATGTTGCAGTGCTATTCTATCAATCTGAAGTGGAGCCAGAATAGACTATCATAAGACCAGATATGCGTTGAAGACCAAAGAAAGGCTGGTCTCCCGGTTGATCAACTACCTGACGGCTAGTCGCCTTCCTCGGCATGCCTTGTCAGTACTTTTTGTATATTTTTGTCCAAATGCTTCATCCCAAGAGCCAGTGTTCACCCTGGGCGACTCAACGGTGTGGGTGTCAACTTAAGACCCAAAAAACTATGGGATTCGTCGTTCACATTCACCTCAGTGATGACTCTCTGGTTTATTTATCAATCTAGTCATTGGAATAGGTTGGGATTTTCCACCCTTGCGCCCACCTTCACCTGCACGCGGGTTCGCCCCTGCCATGCCTCGCGGCTGCGGCCGCGATGTCGTTGGTCTGCGTGGCAGCGCTGAGATCAGATCGATCTGAAGATGGGTTCCGCCTTGTACAGATTCGCATCTGGCCGTGGTGAAGTCTTTGCATCGCTGATATCGGAGGGGGGCAGAGGAGATCAGAGGTGACTAGGCCCCAGCTAGGTGGGCCATTGGTCATTGCAAGATGGGCAGAGGCAGATTTTACCATATTATACCTGCAGTGATGCCATGGCGAGCTATTTTCCTGCTAATAAGATTCTTCAGTTGTGAACGATTTCAGTCCTTTCACCACCAGGAAACATTGTACAAATGACCCAAAAGGCTCAGGGGTTTAACATGGTTCTAACATGTTCTAACCATCGCAATGCCATCCGAGTCATCCTCTGAGATGGCATTAAAAGAATCATTATAGAGATCAAGATGTATTGGACATGGGAAATGGTCGATATGGTCATGAACTTGTTCGATCCCATCTCAATGTTTGCCTCTTCAACGGCGACAACGTACCAAAGCGATGTTCATCCCCTCGTGATGACGGCGATCGGACTTTGCCTCGACTCTCGCGGGACGCTTCGGTCGTATGTGCTACAAACTGCCCTGAGGGCGCAGCAAAAGGCCGTGCTGCATATGGACATATGGGAAAGGGGCAGCGAACATCAAGAAGTAACTTCATCCAACTTGAAACTCGTAAGAATCAGTGGCTGACAGTTGAGGTTCTGCCTTTGGAGAGGTTCCAATTTAAAAGCTGTTTCAAGAGTGTCAGTCGTGTCCGCTTCGGACATCGACGCTCATGTTGCCAAAGTCTGCGATGCCACATAGAGAAGGCTTCATGGTTTCCAATACCTCCCAGAGCCACTTTTAAGTTTGGATTTTTTGGGGCGCCGAGGTTTTCGGGGTTCACCATTCACCACCCGTTTTTCACACTTAGACATAGAGAATGGACCTGCGTTCAAAGAGGTCGTTTTCCTTGTGAATGAACATGGGAGACACCATCACTCTTCTCTTGACGCCTTGACGTGCACCATTCGCACTGAATTTGTATGCATCATTCGCCCATCTCCCCCGCACCATTCGCCCATCATCCAGTCCCTTTGGCTCGAGCGGTCGTCCTTTGGCGTCATGGCTCACAAGGTGTCGGTCGGTCGTCCGTGTGGCTGGTTGTTTGAATCGGAGACGAGAATCAAGATGTGATGGAGAAGCACAGGTCTCCTTTCCAAGTTGGCCAATACTGTCATGAATGCCATGTTTGCCCAATAAACTTAGGCAGCCAGAGTTTTTCTTCTTGACCCGAAGGCAAATTGCGAGACTCGGCACGCGACAAATAGTGCACTGCCAAAACTAGGTAAAACAACATGAACGGACTTCATCGCGATCTGATAAATGAACCACACCATACATGAGAACTGTTTTTTTTCTCCAAAACATATTTACCCACCCTTCACTGGCGCCGCAGGTCATCTACCAGTCAACGGGCCTCTTGGCGATGTCCATGCATCCGCGAAGAGCGTTTGCGACAGAGATCCTCTTGATTGTTCTTTGAAGTCCTGGAACTGCCGAGAGATACAGCAATTCAGAATCCTTTCCGGATTTCTTTTTACCCTTCCCTGAACATTGCTCCAACCGCTCTCCCCCCTTTCCCCGCTACGCTGCGAAGCCGCGCTTTCGAGGCTGCTTGCCGGGGAGCTCGGCAGTGAAGAGCGTCCCCACCAACGACCTGGCGCCTCGGACCGGGCACCTTTGTGAGCGACCGGGACAAGGGTGGTGACACAGTGACAGCTGGGAGTAAGAAAACAGGGGTTGACGGTGTTTTCTTTTTTGTTTCTTGAGAAGCTCTTTGGATCTTGAATCCTGAAAGGATGGAACAGGAAGTTGGTGACAGGTGAAAGGGGATCTAAAAGAGACAATCAGAAACTATCGTCATGTTGTCATGTGTTCTCTTCTCCGCTTCTCTGGGTCGCCCGCCCGAGGTGCGTCTCACCTACCGGACGGCCTACTCCACAGGTGCGGACCTTCCCGTAGCTTTTTGGCAGAGGAATGATAGATTGAAGGATTTCCATGTTTTGGAAGGATTTCGCTTGATATACATAGAGACACTAAGATGGAACTGTTTGAGGAAAACAGTTTCCCCAAATGCCGTAGGCCATGTTCCACTTCCATGCTAGTGAGACAGCATGCAAGTGTTTGGTCCTGGTGGAACTGGGGATAGTTGCTATCATTATTGGTAGCTGGCCTTCTTGGATGGTTTTGACACCTCAAAACCAACTTGTCCCGCTGCTAGAGTCGTGTGGATGTCCAGTTGACCCCGCCTTGCCTTTGTTAGGAGGGTTATATAGGACCTTTCTTATGCCAACTTTCGCTTGTTTCGAGAAAATCTTGGGGATGCCGGGTGCATATGCTGGAGGCGTCCCTGCGACCGAGGCGTCCCCTCAGGGGATCAATGCCACCTTTTTGCCGCTGTAGCACCATCCTATGATAGCTTATTTGATCCTTCAAGGGTTTGGACGGGTTCGGACTTTGAACCTAGGTGAACTGTCCGGTTTGGTTTGCTGGAATACATCCTGCCTCCCCCTGCTAACTAACCGTTGAGACTGGTCATACTGATTTGGTGATTTGCTTGGGTTGGTTTGGTGCAGCCTACTCCCTGCCCTTCGTGGCCAGGGGTGGCTGGCCGCATCCCGTCATATGAGGAGATGAGGGCCTCGTCACGAAAATGTCTCGTTGTGCCTGTGTGGGATGCCAACTGCGACAGCCATTTAATTGAGTTCTTCATCACCAAATTTAGGACGCGAATGCATCTAGCCGAACCCTGTGAAAACTGTGGATCCAAGACGTTTCGTAGCTACACAACCAGAGGTTATGGCCAGCTAAACCAACCCATGGAGTTCGTTCAAGCTCTTGTGAATCCAGTTGCTCTTTAACTAGCACACTCAGAACCTCCTACTGTGTGAGTTGGTTTTGTCTTATCTTATGGATACTCCGTTCTTTGCACCCTGGAAAGGTGCTGAGAAGTCAGCTGTCTCGCCATGGAAGATGGAGAGCTTTCACATGCGGCCGTTTCTGCCACCCACAGTTCCAGTACCTCCCGAGCAAAATTCCTCGAGCTGCCAGCCCCCTGCAGGACCGAGGAGAGAACTTCGCGGGCATTCACAACATCGGCCGCAAGGAGAGTGCTCACCATGTTGCTCTCGTCTTCTGTTTGTGTGTCGACTACTAAATATCCAACCGTGTCGCGCCCCTTGGTGGAGTGACTAGCTGCATCGAATTCTCTGTAGTAGCGTTTTTGCTCCTAGTAGTGATGCCAGGAGCCCCTAGTAGCTTCTTCTTCCTAGTAGTAAGGCCAGGAG